TAGAAAAATCTAGATGCTCAGTGATATTTTTGGATAGGAATGAGAAACTTCCAGATACAATTGCAGTGCAGCTCCCAATATTTGTCACAATTAGCTGTGCTGTCTAGGGATGATGGGAATTGCAGTCCAACACTCTTTTGAAGTCTTCACAGTTCCCATCCCATATGCTGGACTGGCCTGGACTGAGATATTTATGGTCTAAGATGAAAGAGCATTCCACATCCAAAAGCTGATAGACAATTGAAACTTAATTCAGAAAACATTATAGTGGGCAAAATGTTCCATTATGTCAGATATTCACTTAGTGGACATAGGCCCAGCTACAGGGCAAACAGAGCTCCTTCCTAATGCTTCCTGTCCCGCGGCATTTGCTGCCTGAAGCAGTTCCTTCATTCCACTATAATGGGTCCAGCTCATTATGGAATGACCAACAATAACACTATGAACACGATTTTTATTCCTGGATTATAAATGTCATTTCCTAATTGGTTCTATCATAAAAACATGGAAAAGGTTTATTAAATTGCAAAAACTTTGTTTTTGCAGGACATCCTGCAGCACATTTTGCTCTAGTTTTTCAATGAATATCTCATACATTCTCAACCAACTCAACATACTTTGTGGCAGCCTCAAAAACAAAGTTTCTGGAGTATAACAACTACTTCCGAGCAAGTACAGCACAATTAAACAGGAATTAACACTTTCAAAACAGGAACAGATTTTTTTCAAAAATCATTACATCATATTTTTATGTCAAAGTGAGTCTTGCTGTATACTTTGCGAAGATCCATGATAAGATAGTGCCCCCCCCCCAAAAAAAACCCCAACTTGTTGATTGTCAACTATTTAGAGTTTTTTTCCCTTAGAAGTTTTTTTACAGTGTCAGAAGTGAATAGAGACTATAATGCAAGTTGCTTCTGGTGTGAGAGAATTGGCTGTCTCCAAGGACGTTGGTCAGGGGACACCCAGATGTATTACCATCCTGTGGGAGGCTTATCTCATGTCCTTGCATGGGAAGCTGGAGCTGACAGATGGGAGCTCAACCCATCTCATGGATTCGAACTGCCAACGTTCAGGTCAGCAGTTCAGCCAGCACAAGGGCCCATTGCACCACCACAGCTCTTATTCTCTCACTGAAGAAATAAAATATACTGGATGTAATTTTAATTGTATAATCAGCATGTGAGAAAGTATTTCCCTTTCTCCATCCCTGTTTAGATTTGGGCAGGCCTGTAGCCGGGGGGGGGGGGGGGGGGGGGGTTTTAGAGGTTCCAACCCCCCCCCCCCCAAATTTTCAACCCCTTCTGAATTTTTTTTCTTGCTACAGCGCTGGATTTGGTTGGGTACTACTGCAATTTCTTTTAATTGAAATGTAGATAAGTAACTTTTCAGATCAGCATATGGACATTCTGTTATTTCATCTTTCTGGCCCCTCAACTGCAAGTCAACAATATCAAGAAGATTGCCCAGTCTCCACCTTGACTCTATAAACTGATATAACAACTTACATCCTTATTTCAGCAACAGTACTCTTGGGTGACTTGGGGCAAGTCACACACTCTCAGCCTCAGAGGAAAGCAAGGCAAGCCTTTTCTGAACAAGTCTTGTCAAGAAAACCCATGACAGGCTTTCCTAAGGCTTCCATAAGCCGGGAACGATTTAAGGGCACATAACAGCAATAACAATTCCTGTGTGGGTGCTGCTAAGCCATCCATGCTTCTCTGAAGCGGAAATGCTTATGACTTCACGTGCCCTACATTGCAACATGCAGTTTGGCTACTATGTTATCAAGAGAAAAGAATCCTGTTGCTTTCCCATTAGCACATCTTTCGTCTTTCTTGTTCTTGAATTTCTAGAAGTAACTTGCATCTCCAAGAAATCTCCAGCAATGATCATTCATGTTAGAACATTACCATTCCAATAATTTGGTTGGAGGTAACCCTTGTGCCAGCTGAACTGCTGACCTGAAGACCTCAAGGTCAGCAGTTCAAATCCGCGAGACAGGGTGAGCTCCTGTCTGTCAGCTCCAGCTTCCCATGTGGGGACATGAGAGAAGCCTCCCACAGAATGGTAACACATCCAGGTGTCCCCTGGGCAAAGTCCTTGCAGACGGCCAATCCTCTCACATTGGAAGCGGCTCCAATTCGCCTCTGACATAATAATAGTAATAATAATAATAATAATAATAAAAACAACAGAGAGGGTTTCTTCAAAAATGAAAGAGTAACATTGTCATTGCTTAATGGTACAGGTGAATATTATTCCCATGTGCTGCAGGTTGCAGGTTGTGTCCAACAACTGGTGCCAAAACAATTCACTTATTTAGGGCAAGTACCAAGAACTGTACTTGGAGTTTCCAAACTGGTCAAGTCAGCTCTTCCAGGTTGCTGCAACCCCCTTCCTCCTGGCATTATAAGTTGCATTTGCCAGTTTGGGTACAATTTTGAGAAACTGAACCTACAATTTTGAGAAACTGAACATAACTTCTAATGCCTATAGCAGCCTGAGATGTAATACATGGCAGAACATGTAGATGAAAATCAGGTGATGGGCTCTTCTATAATTGTCTAAAGATGCCTGAGTTCTTTTCCAGTTGTTTCTCCTGATCCCACTTGTTCCATTCTTCTAAGGGACTGTCAGAATGGTTTCTTGGATCTGCTCTATTACTCCTCAAAACATTTTTTAAAACCAGGCCGTGGTTTATTTAAGTTTTTAAGGGAAATTTCCCCATATGTTGAAAAAAAATCTTATAGTGTTATAGTGCAAAAATGCTGTTTCATTGGAAAGCACCATAACTTGATAACTCATTAAAACATTAAAAAGGAAGAGACGAAAATTATATTTTCCCCAATATGTCTCAGAATTTAAAATAAATCCATTTTAAAAGGGGGTTAAAACCCTGCATCTGGTGTTGGGAAAGTTGAAAATATAATCCAGGAAAATGGAAATATTATTTGGGCACGAAAAAACAAAACAAAACAAAACCCTGAGAACCACAGCAATACTGCAATTTCATGCCATATTTGCATTGTCTAGAAGAGCCCAACTTTCAGTGGCACCTTCTGAGGCTGCACCTACACTGTAGACTTGATGTAGTCTGTCATGACTCAATGTTAAGGAATCCAGGGAGTTGTAGTTTTACAAGGCCCTGGTACCCAGGGGTGGCTCAACCCATTACGCAAAGTAAGCATTTGCAGTATAGTTGATTTTGCCCAGGGGCGCTCTTGGGGGAAAATAGACCTTGACATATGTGAGTTGTAGTTACTGGGATGTATAGTTCACCTACAATCAAAGAGCATTCTGAACTTCACCAATGATGGAAGCAGTGTAAAAGCAGTGTAAAACTTTGTTTATTCTGTAGTGTACACACACCCTTTATGCTTGTACGGGTTCAGTATCCCATAGCTAAAATATGTTGATCCAGAAGAAATAGCTGCATACACATATATCATGAGTCCCAATGGTTCCCAACTTAGGGCCTCCAGGTGTTTTGGACTCCTGCTCCCACAGTTCCTAACGGTAAGCTGGCTGGGATTTCTGGGAGTTGAAGTCCAAAACATCTGGAGGCCCAAAGGTCGTGAACCACTGGAAACACAAAATTAATGTATGTTTCATGGATACCTTATACGACTAGCCTGAAAATAATTTTATACAATATTTATAATTGTGCCTGAAACAATGTTTGTATGCACTTAATCATCAGAAAGCAAAAGTGTCACCCTTTCAGCCACCCATTGGCAACCCAAATTTGGAATATTTTGCATTTGGGAATTTGAAGTATTTCAGATTTGGGAATTCCATATTAGTCCCCTTTTGGGGAGATTATGCGGGGTAATAATAATAATAATAATAATAATAATAATAATACCCATCGAAATAGGCTAATGGGTCAGTAGAACTGATCTTCTGATTCTTGGAGCACATCTATACTCAGATTGGAGGAAAGATAGACTTTTAGGGTTTAAATGCAGCCCACAACTTCCCTTTCTAAACAGTTGATCAGCTTTGTGGTTCATATTCTTTGACTAGGCTTATATGTGCTGAGCTTGTGGGGAAAAATCCATATTCAATACCCATTTGCAGTCATACATCTACACTGAGTTGGTGTATATGTTATTGGCAATATTTCATTCTTTTGTCTATGCACACAATAAAGTAATAATATGACAAGTCTGATAGGAATATTTTATAACATATATTGTGTGAGGGCATGCGAGCTCATATGTTGTAGGAAATACCAGTTTACATATTTATTTATTTATTTATTTACGATATTTATATGCCGCCCTCCTCACTCTGAAGGTGTGTGTGTGTGTGTACACACTATATATATATATATACACACACACACACATACACATACACATACATACACACACATACAATATATTATATTATTAGCATAGTACAATATCAGTATTAAATATTACTATATTGTACTACACCATTATATTGTAATATTATTAGTAATATTACATGTAATATAAATATTACACGAAAATTAATTTGTAGTTAGATTCTACAGTGTATAATAGAAGCTCAAAGCAATAACATCCTTTGTTCTGTGCATTCAGTCTTCTGAAAAGCTGTAAATCTTGGAAAAAGTATGATTCCACAGACATTTGGAAGGTTTAAGAATTAGACCCCATATGATTTATAATATACATAGATTAATTGATGCTGTCTATTTTTTTGTCCTTTTTTCATAAACACAACCAGAGCTTGAGGGCCACAGATGAGAATAATTTACTGAAACAAAAACATTACTTGGAAAATATTAGAAAAGTAAGCAGTAACAGAAGTTCAGGTGTCTATAAAGCTTTGCAAGACAGAAAAAGGTGACTTAAAGGTCAGGAAGAGAAGAGAACGGCAACTGCCATTGACAATTTCATCTGGTATGTGCTAATTTATGAGGTGGAGATTCTGGTGTCGTTCATTGGCTGCTCTCCACCTCCTCCATGTGACTGGTTGAGCCCTTCACTATTATTTGCCACATTTCTCTCAGAGACACATTGCCAGGTTGTAGCGCACACACAGGCTACAGTGGGGCCAAGGCTGACCAGCAATGGGGGCCATCAAGGTAGGTGGCTCAAATTCTAGAAATACCTCTTAATTGTGCCTTTTCTTTTACAGTTGTTGGGTTAAACACCAGTGGTTTCTATCCCTTGATTTAATGTTTTATTTCTCAATAGTGAAATGTGGCTTTAATGCTGAATGCTAATACATGGGGATTCAAACTTGGAGTTGTCTTGGCAGATATGTCAAGTTTTTGATTGAAAAGTGACACAACTTATTTCACTTTTAAAGCTTTTGATTCTCCTAATGTAAGTGTTTAACCAAGATGCTGAAGAAGGATAAAATCTTCTTTGGCTTCTTCCACACCGCTGTGTAAAATCCACATTGAACTGGTTTATATGGCAGCCTGGACTCAAAAAGCCCAGTTCAAAGCAGATATTGTGGATTTTCTGATATTCTGGGTTATATAACTGTGTGGAAGGGCCCCATGACTCCTAAACCCTTAAAAGCAAAGGAATGTTAGACAAACATTGTGTACACATTGTTTGGAAATAGAAATAATAAAAGGTGCTTTTTTGGATCCAGCTTCCAGTATCTCCATGCTTTTATAATCAGTGGTCACTATCTGATTGTTTCAGAGAGGTCCAATCCAAGCATAACTTTTCCATTCTGAGCTGACTATGAAGTCAAATCAAGTTTAATTTGGAGTCAAGTAAGTTTTTAGGGCTCTCTTCCTTTGGAACAACAAAGGATGACCATGTTGAGATTGGAGCGGAACAGAAAATTGAATGCCTTCATTCTTCACATTTCTGCCCTACCATTCAGGATATCCAGTAGGAGTTGCCTGTGTATAGCTGAAAAGTGTAGGCAGCTAGTTGTCTTCCTCTTGGCTGAAAATTGCACAAGCTCCTGTTCTGCAAATGTTTGTATTTGTGACTGTATCTGAATTTACATTTGGGTTTTCTTACACAATGTGGTTACCCTTGTTTAACTGGCTCAAAGGAGGTGATGGCAGTGACCACAAAAACTGGCCTTACAAACTGTGTGGGTGGGGTGCATACTTGTCCCACCTGGCAATTCTTGCCGCTCTGGAAATAGATTGGGAGGCAGTCCCACCCATCAAAGTCAATTCTTGTTGAGAGGATCACCAAGAACAACTCTTGGTCACTAGCTCATCTACCCGATGAAGGAGAACACTGAGGGCAAGTTCGACAGTCCAAACCAAAACAGGCACTGATGGGACTCAGAAGTTGTTGCTGGAAATAGAGTTGTTGATTCCAAAGTGTAGGCAGGAGGGACTGTGAAAAAGATCTGGAGGAGCTGGATTTAACTCTGATGTTGTAACAAGTCACCTGCACTGGCTCTCTGTATACTTGACTGACAGGTACCTCTTTTGACTCCACTTTCTTAGAAAACTAAATTAGGGTTGTCAAGTCTCAGGGCTGCAGATGGAGCTTTTGAACTAGGTGAGGAGACACATCTCAGAACAAGTGGTGCTGGAGGAGAAGGTTTGTTTTATTGTGTGAGCCGGCTTTCTTGTGAATACACACCCATCTCCTCTTAATAGCACAAATAAAAAGATGCAACACCAGTTCAACTAGACCATAGTTAACTATTTTCTGGTACCAATATGTAAGAAATGACCGAATATAATGTGATACACCACCATCTGGGCATACTAAAATGTAGATGTATAGTCTGTATTAATGTTAGGCAACAAAAGACAAGAAGTAGCTAAATGTTGCTTTGGAAGTAGGGCAATAAACTCACATTATGTGCCTCATTCTCTGATACATGTGCATGCACTTTTTTTTTTTGCAACTGCTATACAAGGATTTTGCCCTTGGCTTTCGGCTCAGGGGATGGAAAACCACTGAACTGGCAGCCCTAACTCCTGGGACTAACTCCAATGAGTACACATCCCTATACTTTACTGAAAATATTGTGTTACTTTGTCCTCACAGCTGCTTTTGACTTCATAGCTTTCTGAAAGTAGAACGGCATCAGAGTCCTGTGAGAGGACAATGTTACCTTTAAGCTTTTTGAGGTATAAATGCTTCCCATCCCTCTCTTTTCCCATTATGTTTTTAATGGTCCTGATGACTTTTGGAAATGGGAATTGTAGACTGAATTTCAGTTTGAGGAAATGATGATCATGATGATGTTCATGATGCACTTTGTTTACATCCTGCCTTTTCTCCAGAATTGGGACTGAAGACAACTTACTCATTATATTACAAAACATGCAATATAATAACTATAACAATAATAATAATAACCTTTGTCATGATCGTTATGCACATTTATTGTACAATGTTGTTGCATTTCTTGAATCTAGAATATAAATGCTTTTTCTTGATGTTGTACTAGTGCTGTGACAACTTTGTGTCTTCTCAAAGTGCAATTAAAAATCTAACAATTCTCCACAGTCTTTTCTATTGTCTGAAATATCGTTGCATAATTGTGATTCAGAGCACCTAACAGATAAACATGGCTTTAAAATTAAACATCCCACCAGAAGTTTGGGAATAGCATCAAGGACTGAATCAGCATTGGGATGACTGGTATATATAAAGAATTAGAATTGCAAAAGACTTCTGTTTTTTAAATTACATTTGGTTATACTATAATTAGGATTGTTTATCATGTACTGATATGTGAGTCCACTGTTTGAAGTTCAGATTGCATCGAAATTTCAAAAGAACATTTCAATTCAACAGGATAGCTTTTGTGTGAGAGCATGTCACCCAATGCAAGCATTCAAATTCAAGTCATTATACCATCACAGAGATCACAGAGAAGAGCTGCAAGTGTCAACAAAACCTCAAGACAACATCTTCTCAAGTGACCATGGAGAATCGGCCACTTCCCACTTTCATGCATGTAACTTCCCATCAACCTGTTACTAACCTTGATGGATGGGATACTTTTTGGAAAACAGTTGTAACCAGATTTTCTTGTTTAGGGTAGTAATGACATTAAATATAGCCACTATACTTAGGAGAACGAAATTGTATTGGAGCATTTTAGCTTATAGCATTTAGTGGCCAAGGAGGAGATCAGCTTGGCAACATAGGTTCTCTCATATATACTTATTATCCCAGTCAGTACAGTATAATTCCAATATCTGTGAAACCAATGGAAATCATATAACTTATCCACAGTTTTACTCATCCAATTAGGACCTTCTGTACAAGCTATTATCTACAATTTGACATACCCCTGTGATTAGGGACACAACCCCTGTACATATTGGGGGAGTGGTGTCTTACTGTACTGGAAATCCCATTGTTTGCATTTATTTTCAGATTTGCATTAGGGTTAGACATGATAAAATTGGGTACCTGTATGTATGTGCATGTATCTGATCAAGATACCTATTCACATTTATTTGTGACTCAAAAACATACCAGTAGCACTAGGGACTTCATCACATTGGGGCCCTGAAGCCGGGGAACAGCGAGGGCATTTGTTGGTCAGGCTGGGCAAATCTGGGAAACCTGTTGCCCCATGGCCCATGCTCCACACCCCACATTGCCTGCATCACCTTCTTTTCCATCTCATGGAGGGAAGCGTCGCTGCCTGGCTTCCCCCTGCACTTCCCTCATTCTAACTTATGAGAACACAGGAAGCCTCCTGTGTTTTCCAGTGCCGTCGTAGGATGCTTCCAACACCGTTCATGGATTGAGCCCTGCCTAAGTATCTATGCGTCTTTTGATGGGATCCATCAGGTTCTGTCAAGGAACTGTGCTGGAAGTGTCCTATGCTTGCTTCTGAGATGAAGTCGTAACTCTCATTGTCCCTGAAATCAATATATTATGGTGGAGGAAATAATTCCTTCTAGCTGCCTCTACCTCTTTGCCACAAAAAGTTCAGGAAACAGGTTACTCATTAAGCAACAAATCATCTAAAAGCCCCAAAACTGTTGTCAAACGGCAAGTCCTACTTCCAGTGTGTAACCACAGTCTTGCTGTTCCAAAGGAGATTTTGAGCCAATAACACCTTGGATGTTATTTCAGGATGTTGTTTGTGCTGCTCTGACACCACTGATTTCTCAATACCTGGACAATAGGTTCATCAGCACAGGGCAGGACTGGGCACCACATACAGTTCAACATTTCACAGTTGAAAAGTGAGATACACATGGCCAAGAATAATAAGGTTTGAGCAAAATGGTAAAAGTTATTTGATGAGGAAGAAGATACAAGCTAAGAGAGACTGCAGCAGTTTGCTTTTGTTGAGTGTTATGGGAAGGGCAAGATGCTGTCCCTTCTCACATGACCCTTGCTGACATGTACTAAGTAAATGTGCAATCTACTTTTGTGCTTTGAATACATTTTATAGCAACGGTAGTAAACTGAGGAAGGATGGAAAAAATGAAAGGAGAGAAAAACTAGGATATTTTTTAAAACAGATGAAAATGTGAGATGATAGATGAGTAATTGGGATTATCCATGCCAAATTGGGATCATGTTCTATGTTTCTCACACGCCCCTCCCTTTCATTTTTGTGGCCCTCTTACTGGTGGAAAAAAGTCTAGGAAGGTTCTCCGGGGTGTAAGAGTTGCTTTTACAGAGGTGGGAGAACTGTCCCTTGGGGTATACTATCTGTCGGCATTTAAGACGGATAAATAGCACTCCTCTGTAGAATATTATAGGTGATTGTTAATTACCGTTTGCTTTAATTAGTTTTCTTTTCTCATGTAAATTAATATTGTAATTACAATCATAATAAAAATGAACTCATTAAGAAAGCAATACATTGTTTTATTAAAAAGCAGGTTGGAGCATACGAATAATTTTCTCCAATTACGTTATTTTATTTAATAAGACAGCCTGACAAAGAAGGGTAATACGTTTCTTCTATCTTGTATCTTCAGTATCAGATTGAGAGTATTGTCTGTTAAAGATATGAATCAAATATGAGATTAATTCAAACTAAGTATGTTGAACTTATGCCCCATGAAAATCAGTGAGGCAAGATACCTAAAGATTAAAGTAATAAGTCTATTTTTTTTCAGTGTAAACATTCAGCTAGTTAATCTGGATTTTGCACAATATATATCATCCTTGTATGTTATCTACGAAAATATGTATCAATTCTTTACTTGCACAGTTTGTCAGTATTGTGTTGTGAACTGGCCACAGTATTACTAAATTGGGCATTTGGAGATCCAGGTTCAAATCCTCAGTGAGCTACAAATTTCACTGGATGGTCCTGGAGGCTGATGGTTCATACACCAGTGGGATGGTGAATCCACCTTGAGCATTAATTTGAACAGTAGCTCTCCAAGGTGCTCAACCTATTTTGGGAATGTGATTCAGCACCAGGGATGGCTCCTTGGAGGCTCAAAATAAACTTGAAGATTTCTTTAGGCGATCCCTTATGTCTGAATATAATGGCCTTCCAAATGCAGTGTCTTGGCAGTGGATATGTAGGTGACTGTGGAGCCCTGCTCTTGGCCTGCATGTTCTTCCACAGTGAGGACACTGGTTTCCAAGTGGAAGGCGGGACCAATCAGGGTTGGCTTGATGCGCCTTCCTCTTGACATGTTTATCTCTTTCACCCTCCATTTGTGTCTTTGAATTCCACAGCACTGCTGGTCACAGCTGACATCCAGCTAGAGCACTCAAGGGCCAGGGTTTCCCAGTTCTCTGTCTTTATGCCATGGTTAAGATTAGTGTTAAGCCCATCTTTAAATCTCTTTTCCTGTCCACCAACATTCTGTTTTCTGTTCTTGAATTGAGAGTAGAGTAATTGCTTTTGGAGATGGTGATTGGGCATTCGGAAAATATGGCCAGTCCAGAGGAGTTGATGCTGTAGGAGCATCACTTCATTGCTGGTGGTCTTTGCTTCTTCCAGCATGCTGACATTTGTCCACCTGTCTTCCCAATAGATTTGCAGGATTTTTTGAAGGCAACACTGATGCAATCATTCCAGGAGTTGAGTGTGACATCTGTAGACAGCCCACATTTCACAGGCGTATAGCATAGTTGGGGGAATTTATCGCCCCACTGATAACAGAGCCACTAGTTTTTGCATTAACGACTTTGGTTGCTAAGAGATTGTCAAGACTGTAAGAAAAGACAGGAAAGAAATACTGTAGAACTCATGAACAAATATATTTTGCTAATTGCTGTCACATGTTTGTGTATCTGCCGGTGGAGCAGCTTTGGGCGACCCATCTGATCTGTCTTTTATGCAGCCATTTGGAGAAAGAGGAAAAAGAATAAAGCAGAACTCCTTTCCTTATTCAATTTCTCACAATCTTATTAACTTGCATTGAAGAAAGACAGCTCATTAAAAAAACCAAGTAAGAATGATGTCTTGCATTGACGCCAGTCAAACCCACTTGGATATCAAGTCCATTAGCAGCTCTGTTGGGAATACCAGGAAATGGAATTCCTACTTGCTTAGGTGGAAGGAAACGGACATATTTTTGATAATTGTAATGTTTTGTAATCATATGCATTTTGATTGTATGTATTTGTCAGTTTAAGATGCTAGACATCTTGAGAATTTTGTTTTGAAGCTAATTAACTAAACCTACATTTCCTAGGCATGCATGCATGTGTGTGTATATATGTTTATCCTTTAGATTTTTCGCTTCTCTAAATCCTGCAACAAAGGTGATTTTTTGTTCATTCAAAAAGCATACCAAGATACATAAAAATGGACTTTAGCATCAAATATTTCTTGCTGATTTTTTTTAAAAAAGGAAGAAAATGCAGACACAAAATGGCATGCACTTCTAAAGTAAAATCCATGCAAAATTAACATGGCCTAGAAATAGACTGATCAATCATTCGCCATGAACAGGTTGCCAAAACGTACTTTAGGTCAAGTAAATGAGAGCTAATAATGCCTAGCTGTTCCCTATGTACTGGCTGCATCAGAATCTCTGCACTAACTCCCTATGATGGATAGGAAAATTTCTTGGAAAATGTACCTAAGTTTGGCAGCACCCTGGTTACATGCTACAACATTGAACCTTGAACATAAAAGTAGTATATGGTACTCCCGAAGGGTAAAACCTGGTGTTACTGTTACTTTCTTTATACACAACTGGAACGTCTCACTTCCTGTGGAAAACCTTTCCAAAATATCTCTTGAGTATCTTTTTCTAACATTCCTCTTTCCTGACAGTTTTCAGCAGACATCTGAACCAAATGATTGTCAAAAATCATGTGAAATAGAATAGAGGTAGTCTGTTCTATAGCGACATGACCATTCATTATGATTTCAGTCATAAAAATGGGATATTAGTGAATGTTTGGTCTAGGAAGATTATTTTTGAGTAAGGATTATGAAGCACCTTACTTATTCAAAGTGTCACATGCCTAATAATGTTTGTAAACATGGCATTATGACATAATTTTATCACTTTATTCCACATTCTTTGTCCTCCCTTCTGGAGTAAATTGCAATATTTCCTTATTTTATTTTTATATTTTTTATTATAAAATATTATTTTTTAAAAAGCAATGTCTTCTTATTGTTCACTGTTCTCTTTCCTCAGATGGAGAAGTATTCCGTTTTTGCTGTCATTTTGTATGCTGCGTGCCTATGCAAGGTCTTGGGATACCCATACAATGATGTCTCCATAGCTTGTGACTCTATGTTGCCAGATCGTGGAAGTGGGCCACAGAGGTCTCCACCACCTTATGTCATTTCAGTATCATTTGATAGATATGATCCTGGAAATGAAATACAAGGTAAGCATGATGCTCGGTTTACCAGGCAGCCAAGGTTGCATGGCAGGAGAGCAGCCAGGGCTGGTATCATGCCAGTGCAGGGGGAGTCATCTTCTTGGCATGGGTCATAGATCTTGGATTAAGTGATAGCATAAGGGGATTCCCTTAGGGGATGTAGGGATTGTGGCGTTGTGATGGCCTTGTCCAACTGAGGGCACACAGGCTACAAACTCTGATGACTACAAACTGAGAGCTCCTCAAGTGCCAACTCATTGTCTGGCCTTGTAGCACTTTGTTACTCGGCCTGCCCTTACAGCTGTATTACACTAGCCCTTGTCCCTCCCTCCTAGATCTGAATATGCCCACTGCTCTCGGCTACTTGTTGATTATTATTGTTATTCTTATGTTTTTATGTTGTCTGTTGTTTGGTTTTATTGATTTAATTATTGAAATGCAATGTATTTTAATTTATGCTATATTTTAACTGTGTTGGTAGGGCTTGGCTCCATGTAGGCCGGCCCAAGTCCCTTTGGAGAGATGGTGGCAGGATATAAGAATAAAGTTATTATATTATTATTACTGTAAGACCATGGTAAGCAGCTGCTTCTGTGCTCCCTCACATGCCAAGGCCCCCAGTATTTGAATGGAAGTGGGTTCATCAGTTAACACTGGGTTGATCGATGCCTGGATTCAGACCCATGTGTGGTCCAATCCTATCTATAGATGTAACTAAATTAAGTCTTGTACTTATTCATTCCAGTAAAATGTTTGTCTGGTCTATGTTTTTGAGCACAGTGGATCTTGTTCTTGTACACACAAGTTATGACCTCATCAGATGGGTTCCTTTCCATGTCATACACCGGTTGCACTTCTCTTTTCTGATTGAGCCCATTACACAATGCAGGCATACTTCTGCCTGAGCTCCATCAGAAAAAGGGAGATTAAGTGGCATATTCCACCACCGCAGTAACATAAAAACCCTTCCGCGTTGCCTTTAGGACAATGGGGGGATGTTGGGCAGTGATGCTGCCTCCTGTGGGAGGGGGTCGCCGGTAAGTCACATGATGCAAGGAGTGGAGCAATAGGTTCTCCATGCCCCCCGCCTAATGGATTCTCCACAATGCATGTTGAATCCATGGACCTTATACAAAATAGCTCTGTGTCCCTGTGTGGGCTTCCATCAGACCTGGAAGAGATACCTATAATTCTGGAGCTTGGAAACATTTATATTAGTATTAAAATTTCTATGATAACTGGTTGAAAAATAATGTTATTATTTAAACACTAAGAGAAACTATACGCCCAATTTGTTAATTGGCTACAATGTTAATTTGTTATAAATAATTCAAATTATCAATTGTCATGTCCCGTTACCTCCCAAGAAGGTAATGATTTAAACTTGCAAGAAATATTAGTCATCTCTCAGAAATTATATTCAACTTAAGCAACGTTTTTAAATGATTGTTGAAAAAAAATAGGTAGCTGAGATAAAACATAAATTAAATTATTAGATAGCACTGGAAAGCTTAATAAATTATTGGCTATTACTGGAAAGTTTTAAAACTGGGATGTTATGTACCTTTGGATTTATGTGCATTGCCCAAGCAATATTTCTGTGCTGGGACTTTCTACTAAGGAAATTGACACAGCTCTACAGTAGAAGTTTTATTGCATCCTGTGTCTTATATAGTTGAAGAACCAATATTTTGACCCTGAATGACAGTCTACAGATTTTTCATGCAATTCCACCATGGAAAAATAGAAGATGATTCATTTCTACCAGCAATGAGTTTCCTGGGCATTGAAACTTTTATTTCAAGAAACAAGCTTATAGTCCACTTGACTAGAGGAATATGGTTCAAAACGTTATCAGCAAAACATGCTGAAATCTTAGAAGCTATGACAGATTTATAAACAGGACTACATCACTCTTCACTCCTCCTCATATGATAAGAAAAATGATTTCAAGCAAGCATGCATTGCAGAATCTATTATGTAAATGTTGTATATTTGTTTAATTTATACAGTTGCAGAATCTAGACATTGATAAAGGGATTTCAAATATTTACAAAACAGTGTCTTAGAATCTACATATAAGTAATTAAGTCAGCAATGTTCCTCCTTGAGTAAATGTGTCAAAATGAAAAATCAAAGAAATGAAATGGAAAAAAATCTGATGCATTTATTGAGCCAATATATTTATGATACAAAATGTAAAGTTATCAATATGTTGCTTTCTCCTAGTGACTTTGGAATCAACTTCACCATTTGGATTTAAAGCATTCATGGCACAGGCTCGAGAGGTTGATGGAAATATTCCTGTGGGTATGTTTCGCATCGTAGATCCAAACACACGAGGCCTTCCATGTGCCAATGTTTCGGTATGTATTTTAATATCTGAATAAACACTTTTTCTTTCAAAAATCAGAACTTTTGATTTGCTTAAATTTATATTTAGCTCATTTGTTTCACAATATTTGTAAAGTTCCTAAGTTGGTGTATGAGCCCTGGTCTAGACCTGGAGAGGATGGCTGTATCATTTGCATATGGCAAGATGGGGACTCTGCTAATAAATACTTTATGGAATCTGGTTAGTGATTCATTGTAACTGTGATTGAAATAGGGTGGGACCGAGAGCAAGGCTTCCTCTGCTGACCGCAGTGCTCGTGGTGGTCTGTATATGGAGATGTGGTTTTTCAAATAGTCAGGGCCTGAACTGTTTCGGGCTTTATAGGTAATAATCAGCACTTTGTATTTTGCCCAGAAGCAGACTGACAGCCAGTGGAGCTGCTGTAACAGTGGAGTCGTCCCTGTACACTCCTCCAGTTAGTAATCTGGCTGCCAATATCTGTACTAGTTATAGCTTCTGAACTATTTTCAAAGGCAGCTCCACATAGATAGTGTTGCAGTAGTCCAGATGGGAAGTGACCAAGGCGTGGAGTACCAAGGCCAGATCTTGCGTCTCAAGGTATTGGGTTCCAGAGTCAGCAATGAGTCCAGGATCACCACCAGACTTAGAACCTGTGTCTTCAGGGGGAGTGTAACCCCATACAGCACAGGTTGTAACCCCACACCCTGATCTGCTTTCCGACTGACCAGGTGTGCCTCTGTTTTGTCTGGATTTACCTTCAACTTATTATCTCATCCAGTCCATCACTGATGACTGGCACCAGTTTAGGAGCAGGACAGCATCCTTGGCTTTTTTTTGGAAAGGAATAATAGAGTTGGGTGTCATTCGCGTAAATTTGACATCGAAATCCAAAACTCAGGTTAATATCTCCCAGTGGTTTCATGTAAATGTTTAACAGCATGAGGGACAGAATTGAACCCTGAGGGACCCCACAGACCACCGGTCAGGGAGTCAAACAGGAGTCCGCCAGCTCCACCATCTGGAACGGCCCTCCAGAAAGAACTGGAACCACTCCAAAACAGTGCTCCCAGTCCCATCTCGGAGAGCTGGCTCAGAAGGATACCATGATCGATCGATATGCTAGTATGTATATCTGCATGCATGCTGGAAAGAAAAAAAGTGCAGCCATTGCAGTTGTGTGATTTCAAATAACCCACTGCAGCGATCACATGAACATGGTTGAAAAGTCCTTTTGTACCAATGTGACTTCAGGGTAGGGGAACTCACCTAGACCAATTTGAGTTCAGATTAAAATTCATATTGCATTAATGAGGTCAAACTGCAGCAGGATACTAGGAATATATCCCAGATTCAACATCATGTGTTTTCTGTTTTCAGAATTCAGCAGTAAGCCATAGAGGTTCGAATGTCAAGCACAGAATCCAAACAAGTTGGATTGCTCCTATGGGTACTAGAAGAATTCGGATAATGTAAGTTGTGATTTTATCTAATGAATATGATTTAACTCGTCTTTTTTTCTTTTGAAGTCTTGTGAAAAATAATTTGTTCAATTAATGAATGCTTTGATCAGAAAAATATAATGCAGTTGTCTCCAAATCAGTTATGCTCTGATGTACTAATAGTCTTAACTTTTCACCTTATTTTTTTTTCTTCCAGGGCAACTTTTGTTCAAGATTATAATACCTATTGGGTTGGTGTTCATAGCAAGACTCTCTCACCCAGAAGTTTTGACATAGCTAATGATACTGAATCCTTCAATGATACGACAACAACCAATACCTCAGACGTAGCCAATATTACCTCCGTGATCTCCAAAATCACTGTAGACTCTGAAACACCTGATGAGGAACTGGAAGAATTGGATTTCAACAACCTCCTTCCTGAGGCAGAGGCTAAATTTGAGCCCCCAGTCAAGGCTAAGAAAACAGAAGATTTCCAAAATGCAAACGCCATAAGGAAAAGCAGGAGGAAGGTATTTATGAAGTACTGATTACTAATGAAATTTGCAAACAACGGAAGGTAGGGATTCAACTGAGTGGCATAAACATGTACATTTTTAAAATTGTCTCTCAGATGCACATGACAATGGGACTTGTAATTATTATTCCTAATCAATGTAGTTGCCCTTTTTGCATATATGATGCCCTAGTAACATATGAAAGGGGGGAGTTCATCAGGGAGGGAGTTGTGGTACATTATAGTCTTGTTTCATCAATAGTATGTATACTTTTCCAAGAGTATTTTGGGGGAAAGAGAGGCAGAAACACAAATGTTAGCTATCCATCATTATCACCATCAAATTTCCACAGTTATTTATATTAACACTATACATTTTGTTGCATTTTGATAACACTTTAACTGTCATGGCTCTGTTTTATGGAATCCTATACTTTGCAGTTTGGAGAGGAAGTCAGAATTCATTGACATACCATAGTAGGCTCTGTTGCCAAGTATTGTAAGTCCCTCAACATACCATAATCCCAGAATTACATAAAACAGTGCTGTACAAAGATGCATCTGCATTGCTCTATAATCCTGTCTCTGATCCCAGATTGTCTGCTTTGAACTGGATTATATGGCGCTGTAGACTCATATAATCCAGGTCAAAGCAGATAACCTGGGATCAGATACTGGATTATATGGCAGTGTATACCCAGCCCCAGTTAAAGTTGTATCAAAGTGTTATATTTCCATAGTGTAGGTATATCCTGAGTCTGTAGCCTGTACCAAATATCTCTTGGAAGTTGTAGCATTTGAATGGGAAATGTTCAGCTTTTACGCTCATTTCCTATGGTTTTTCCAGTTGATATTCTTCCCAAATGGCATAGGACATGGAAGCAATAATGGTGCTGCAAAAGTACTGTGCTACCAATACAATAATTTTGGTGACTCTTGAAAAGACACTTCATAATTCTAAACATAGGTAATGCTAATAAAAGATATTGTCGAAGGCTTTCATGGCTGGAATCACTAGGTAGCCCGAAAAAACCCACAAGAACCTAATAAAAGATACTTTGTAGATCCAGCTCTATCTCAAAGTAGCATTACACTGAACTGTGGTAGCCAAAATCTATAATAAATGATGTGCACACAGATATACTGGCCTAAGAACAGATTACTTGGCATACTTTTAGTAACTCTTTCCCTCTTTTCTTTTCAGTCTGTTGTGACTTTCGATATAAATTGTAGTGAGGTAAGGACCTTTTAATACGACTTTTTCCTAACTGTCGATGAGTTCTTGTTTTCTATTATACTAATATAATAGAAAACTATTCTATTTCATTGTATGCCCTTGATCCTTCTAGTCTGGGGTTGGGAAGCTTTCTCCTGTTTAGGTTTCGGTAAAAACTTGTTGGAGTCTCTGTTTAAGCAAGGTGTGTGGAAAGAGCCCGAAGTGGTCAACGTTACAAAGTATGATGCATCATAGCTGTATATGGGATTCTAAAGTGTGTGAAGCCCTTCCAGCATTCATGACGCTGAAGAAAATACATTTTTGAACTATTATTAGCCAGTGGAGTTGCAATCTAGAAGCAGTTGTAGGCCAAAACACCTTGTGACTCACAGGTTGAGAACCACTGTTCTAGAGAGAGGTGTTCTTTTAAAGTTAACACAATAATGGGTTTTTAGAATGGTTTTTTCCACTTTCTTGTGCCTCTAGCTCAGTGGTTCTCAACCTGAGGTCCCCAGATGTTTCTGGCCTACAACTCCCAGAAATCCCAGCCAGTTTACCAGCTGTTAGGATTTCTGGGAGTTGAAGGCCAAAAACATCTGGGGACCCCAGGTTGAAAACCACTGCCTAGCTGAAGGGGCTGCAATAGTTGTCTGTGATTCTGACTACGGACACTAGAACCCATGGATCTGTAACAGTTCTTATAAGAAAACTTTGGTAATTTTTCCCCCAGGGTGGAACATACCAATCCAGCAGTGGTGGTTGTGTCAAGGTATGCATTCTTCTTCTTAAAGACATGGACACCTTTTTAAAAAGCACGTAGTATGATGTGATTATATACTTCAAAGTTGTGTAGATTCCAAAATTACAGACATATTGTAATTGAAAACATATTTTTTCTATCTTTTATGATCATTGTGGTGTGTAAAACTTCTTGGCTCTGGGAGGGGTCAATATTCTGAGAGTGGATGCCACATGGAGTGATGCACCAAAAGCTGTCGCAACATGTATTGCACAAACTTAATGCAGGCACACACTCATTCCGACAGACATAAACGTACCACACATGGAAATTCTGTCTTTTGTTCCTGTCCTATAGGTCCAAACACATCAGACACTCAAACAAGCATCCCAATTCTGAACTGAATTGATTTCTTCAACCCTTCCCAGTGTTCCTCCATACCTGGAGTCATGGACACACTAGACTCATATGTTCAGAATCATGTTAGAGTCTCAGAAATGGAGTATAGCACAATGGAGTAAAGAGGTCAAGATGAGCCTTGAAACTGAGCAGGAAGGCATATGAACCACATACGATAACTTTGGCTAAAAGACCTACTAAGCTCAGCACTGCTTCCAGTCTAACCTACTCACAGCACTGACTGAGACTGATAGCATCATATTTCATAGAACTTATGTTCATAGAGTTTTGTACAAGCAATATTTAATACATACCTGGTAATACTTAGCTGAGGTCTATGTGATGACTACAGGATGTTTTTATATAACTACTATGTTTCTTTGTTGCCCCTGGGCAAATAATATTGTAGTTGCTTCATTTCTAGCATAGCACAAATGAAAAAACTCTGCTAATGACATAGGCCATGGGAAGGTGTCATCTGGTGTCAAAACTGATCTTTCATTCTTATTTTATGCCAATGCCCTCCTCTCTTTTGGATGCAAGATCCCATTTCTGTTGGAAAATATGGCACACAAACATGAATCTCCTTGCACATAAAGAATGAACTATGATTTCCATGGCAGGGATGGTATGAATCCACTTTGGTTTTATTCCAGACTTTAAAAGAGCTGACCACTGAATGAAGCCCTATTTCCCAAATTGGTTAAACACGCTGGATACTTCTGTTAAGTTCTAGATTAAAATCCAGAATGATTTCAGCATCCCACTGACTACATTCTAGTATAGTTAATGAAATGAGTTTGAAGCCAACTCTATTTATAATCAAAGTTTTTTTTTATAATAAATGCTTTGGGTGAAATGTATTCCCGGATGCATTCTATTTAAACTCATGGTGTATTTTCAGAATGTTCAAGGTTCATCTTACAGCAGCAGCAAACCGTCTGAAGTAAGTATTGTTTTCCATGTTGACATTGAAAACCAATTTTGTGTTTCCTTTCATAACTTCCGACTCCCATGTTAAAAGAAAGATATGAAAAATGAATGGTATACTCTCCCCCCCCCCCACCCAGGTTATTGTGATTACACAAGGAAAGGGCAGCAGCAGCGGCGGCAGCAGCAGCAGCAGTGGATGCATTGGGGTAAGTTCACATTATGATTTAGATTTAGGCATCTTGATTCTGGTAGGAGCATTCACATGTGTAAGTTTCCGTTATGGACACCCTTTTTCAAATGCTGCTTTGTTGATATTCTCATCCTTCCTATTTGGAACTGCCAAAGCTCCACTCCAGAGCAACTGATAATAAACCCCTGATATTATTATTATTATTATTATTATTATTATTATTATTAAGACAATTTCTACCTCGCCCTTCTCATCCTTGTGGGGGGACTCAGGGTGGCTAACACAGGCAACAATACAATGCCAACAGTATCAAAACAACAATATAAAACAGCTATATAAAATCCATTACATAACAATTAAACAGTGATATTAATTAAAATTACATAATCACATAGAACAAATCACATAATCACAGGTCATGACTGCATTGCTATTCCATATTTCTGGGTGAGCAGGCAGGCCTGGAGAAGTGTCTGGCTACATCTCCCATATAATGATATTGATATTGAGATCTACTGGGGTCCTCCAGAGGTCTCAGTGCTGCTATAAATCATATTTTCTCTGGCTGTTAAGAAAAACATCCAGGGAATGTGGATATCTATGCTACACTGGGGGATACTGGATTGAGTCCTTCTAATGATACATCATACTTTTTGCCATCTAGTTGTTCTGAGTGATTTATTACTGCAAAATTACTTAAGGAGGTTATTACATCACTCTGCTCTCAATATGTCTTTTTTTCCACTACCCGTGAAGATTTTTTCTGTCCAATGGATCAGATTGTGTACAAATGAGTCAGTTAGAACATTCGTCATTCAATATACAATGTCTAAATATTTCCATGGTTTTCTGTCCATATAAATTAAACATTGTTTAAATATTGACACTTCTCCAAGTAAGATATAACTAGCTTCAGTCCTTCCTTTGAAATAACTTTGTGGACAGGACCACTCTGAATCCCATTCTTGAACTGAATGGATTTCTGCAATGTTCCTTTGCAATATGTATGATCTGTTAACTTTGTATTATTTTTCTCAATGTTTGTAACACCCAGGTTTTGACATAATAGAATGATGTTTCATTTACTTGTCTTAATCAATTATGTCTCTATAATGATCAACAACTCTTCACTAGTGATTCTACAATGAATGTATATTATACAGACCATGATGTATGTGTTCCCTGTTGCAAAAAATAAAGTATGCATCTCTTTCCTCTTGCTTGCAGGGCAAACTCGCAAGTGTATACAACAAATATGGTTGTGGAGATGTAAGTATTGTTTTATATCTCTTTCTTCTATGATGTATGCTGTATGGTACTCAGCAATGCATAGAAACATTATCTCTCTTATTCAGTAATGTCTGTCTATCCCAGTGCTACTCAAAGTGATGGCCTTTGAAACACTTTTAATCCACAACCCCCCTTTGGCTACTTGTGTCTAATGAATTTCCAGAAAAGAATTGTAGCTAATGGGTACAAATAAGCTTCTGGTCCCGGACATATTGAGTAGAAATTATTGTCCCCCTCATGAGATAGCTTAAGATGCATTGGCCTATATTAAACAGCAGTTGTTTTCTAGACAGGCAATCCTACCTCAAAATTTAGGGTATTCAAAGCATATGTTCTCCCACATAACGAAATATCCCCCTAAAGTGTTTCCATTACAAAGGGTGGACTAGTAAAGACAACTTTCACACTTAACATGGGGCAAAGCAATATAATTCTCTCTAGGAAACAGAGTGATTAAAATGTTCATGTAGGCTATCTACATGATCTGGAACATTCTTGCTGTTTAAGTACCAGACAAGGAGATGTATCAAAAACACCTGATAACATGCTCCTTTACAATATGTCTAACTTGTTAGCTCTGTGGATTGATACCTGTTATGAATATTGGATCAGTTACCTACTTGGTGCTACCTACCTATGTATAGAAAGGAGTTGCTTGCACATATATTTGGAAATTCAGCCTGATCTGGAAGACCTGTTTTGTACTATGATAGCATTATATAAACCTTGTAGCAGCACCTTTAAGGCTAACTGGCTTTTATATTTGTGGGAAATTTTGTGGATATAAACCCACTTCTTCAGATGCAGTACAGAGTGTACTACATTCAAAGAAATGGGTTGATATCCATGAAAGTACATACAAAAGATTTTTAAAAGTTAGTATTAAAATTTCATTCTATACACTCTGCTCTGAATCATTAATTATTAGGAAAGGAATGTGCAGGAGTGCATTATCTTTCTGTTCATCCTATTAGCTGAAAAATCACTAACTTAAGCTTTTATCACTCTTGCACTATGGTGGATTGTTTGAAGCAGTTTCAAGGGGCCAGAATTCTCGGTAGTTATAGTGAATACTATCATTACTTAGACATTATCTTAAACATCAAATGTTTTCCGAACAAATTTAGTTCTTGATCTCCTTTTTCTTCAGCCAGACACATTCATGGCAGCACCATTTTATTACTCAAAAAGTAATGATAGTTGAACCATACAATTTTAAAAAGATATTAAGAGAGTTTTGGTTTGTTTACAGGCTGGAACGGACATTAGTGGCCAGTCTTCATATGGCCAGGTAAGAATGATCTTTGCCTTAGAATTTATTTAATACAAGTTTACCATAGTTGAACTTATTTTGTTATAGATATTCAGAAGAATCTTGTGCAATCAATTTTTTATGCAATGGAAATTTGAAATCCTTGCCATTTTAACTTCACAAAGAATGCTGGGTTTTCAACAATTCCCATTCCCAGTTAAATCTTTTTACGTCACTATTAGATCCAACATTGTGGCATCGTGGTTTCAGGTGACCAGGGTTTGAATTCTTGCTTGGCCATGGAAACCCATTGGATGACCTTGAGCGAGTCACATTCAACCTCATAGGAAGATCATAGCAAACCTCTGCTGGTAAAAACCGCAATAGAGCTGCGGTGGCACAATGGGTCAAACCCTCGTGCTGGTTGAACTGTTGACCTGAAGACCTGAAGGTTAGCAGTTCGAATCCGTGAGATGGGGTGAGCTCCCATCTGTCACGCCAGCCTCCCATGCGGGGACATGAGAGAAGCCTCCCACAACATGGTAACACATCCGGGCTTCCCCCGGGCAATGTCCTAGCAGATGGCCAATTCTTTCACACCAGAAACGATTTGCAGTATATTCTCATAAATCACTTGTGACATGATAAAAAAATATTGCCATAAATCAGAAACAACTTGAAGGAGCACACACAAGAACAACACTTTGCTATTAACGTTGGTATTCACATAAATCAGATATTCATCTTAATTTCCACCCTTGGCCCACTCCCTGTAACTCCAGAGTCCAGAACAGACAGAGCAAATAGGGCAACTTACGCTTGTAATTTAAGTGAGAATTGTAAGAATGATGTAAATAAGGATAATGAGATTATGAATTGCATTTTACTCCAAATGGCTATATCTGATATATATGGTTGTTCTATTTCTTTCAGTCTTCCACCAATGCAGGCAGCAAAGTAAAGGTATGTTTCCTCTGCCACCTTTTACCTTTTACGTATTGGTAAGCTGTAATTCATGCTTCAGCAAGTCCAAACATGATGACACACCATTTGCTATATGGTCATTGGAACATCTTCACCCTTGATATCCCTTCGGGACTCATTACAAGACAACTGTGTATCTATATCATTTTAAAATTTCTCACATTGTACACATCTGTTCCCCTTTTCCTTCAGAAGTAATATGTCAACTGCATGGTTTTTTAATGTTAAAAATGTCCTCTTTTTCTCAATGGTAATCCAAAACATATAGTGTACCCTTGATACTTTGTGGTTCGCTTTTTGCGGACTCGCTTTTTTATGGGTTTTTGCCTCCTGGCAACATTGGAGTATGGAAGGGGGTTTCACCCTCCCCCTTGGGAGAGAGGCAGCCAATCATTAAAAAGAGAGAGAGAGGAGATACAAAGCAGTATATAAATCACGGCCTTATAGCCCCTTCCTTATTCCTACAAAAAAAAAAAGTATGCAGTGCCTTTAAATCTCTCCTTGCTTCTGCCTTATTTTGTGATAGATATTCAGAAGAATCTTGTGCAATCAATTTTTTATGCAATGGAAATTTGAAATCCTTGCCATTTTAACTTCTCTCTCTCTCTCTCTCTCTCTCTCTCTCTAGCTCTTAATTCATGGATTTTCACTTTTTGCGGGTGGTCCTGGAACGTAACACCCGCAATAAGTGAGCAAACACTGTAATGCTGCCTGAGCAGAATAGGAAATGGCACTTCCCGTGATCAAAAAGTGCATTGTATTTAAAGCCAGACATATTATTTTGACGTGCAAGGCAGCCAATCTCAGACAGCCCCTCTATTAATGGAAGTCAAAATTCATTACTAACAAATTTCATAACAAAACTTTATTCTCAGTAGGTAGTAATGGCTTTGCCTTTCCTCCCCAAACCAAAGCTACAAAGTAAAGTAAAGTAATGGAAACCATACTCTTTTCTATAATGGATTGGGAATGTCCTTGATAGAGTTCCTTTCCCTTTCTGTATATGTATGGATGTTGACATTTTAAGATCAGCAATGCAATCTACATCCTCTAAAATGGTAAAACCTGAAATAACAACAACAACAACACTTAATTTATATTCTGCTCTGTCTTCCCGAGAGTACTCAGAGTGGATTCGAACATACACAGATAGGCAAACATTCAATGCCTTTAATACAGTGGAATGACAATGACATATAGAGACACAGAAAAAAAGGTAAAGGCTTCCCTTTTCATCTCCGGCTTTCTGGAGGTGGTGCTCAACTCTAGTCATGGAGAGGTGCTCTTGTTCCATTTCCAAGCCAAGGAGCCTGTTGTTCATAGACATTTCCTGGTAGTTTTGCCAGCATGGCTGCATGGGTGCCTTTATTTTCTCACTCCGATCCATGGCTTCGAATTGTCAACCTTTAGCTCAGCAGATTCAACAGTTCAATGGTTTAACCCATTGTGCTACCTTGGCCCCTCATATAAAGAGATGCTCTTCTTCTCTTTAGCCCTTCCTAAATATATTCCCTCAATGCATTGTTAAAAGGAGAGGAAATAATTTGTTTGAGTCTCCTTCTGGAGAGAAAAAAGTGGTGTATAAATAAACATAATAATACTAAACATGATAAATATAATAATCATAATAATATAATTTTGGGCATAAGACATGCCCTTAGGTTCTCTATGAGTTCACTGACAGTAATATTGAGTAAGTGGATTTATTAACAGTAATTATCATATAATGTATATGCAACTACAAGTCGAGTATATATGATAAGTACTGTCAATGAACCTGCTTCTTAGATAATTAGAAAATGTTGATGACAACATCATTTTATTTATTTATTTTTAACCAACACTCACTGGGATTAGATGTGTACAGTCAAAGCTACAACACAGAGAACAAAAGTGCTCTGAATATTTCTGTGTTACTTATTTTCAATTCTATTTTTCCCAACTGAAAAACATTTAAAATTAGGGTAAAGTAAAAATGATTTTCTGATTGGTTCTATCAGTTAGAAAAGCAAGTGTAATGTGATCCCGCAATGCCGGTTTTCTTTCTCCTTTGTGTGTACTTTGAACATTTCTCTTGCCTTTCTCTAGAAAATGGGGAAAAGCAACCACACATTTATTGGGGAAATCACTTTTTATTATTGTGTTCTTATTACAGGTGTACACCTACCCCCAGAGCAACCCCTTCCCCCCGGAGGTAAACACTTTTACATTGCCATGTTTTAACTTTAAGACAGCAGGGTACAAATCCAACCAAATACGACAAAGTCAAAACTTTATTCTGTGTGACTCATGTATAGCATAGCCTGTTTCGATCTGTCTCTTCTGAAATTTTTGATCACTGATGTGGCTTTATCATTTACTGCTGTTCAAGCCATTTCCAATTTATGTTGACAGCTGAATTTATCATGGGGTTTTCTTGGGAAGGTTTGTTTAGACAGGTTGCCCTTACTGGCCTCATGTAAGCCGCCCCAAGTCCCCTTTGGGGAGATGGTTGCAGGGTATAAATAAAGATTATTATTATTATTATTATTATTATTATTATTATTAGGATTAGAAAATCTGTTTGAGAGACTTACCAAAGGTAAGTCCTATTGAAATCAGTGGAGTTACTTTTCTGAGGCCCCTTCTACACAGCTGTATAAGATCCACACTGAACTGGGTTATATGGCATTGTGGACTCAGATAACCCAGTTCAAATCAGATCTTGTGGATTATCTAGGTTATATGAATGCGTGGAAGGGCCTTGAGATTGCACTGACACGTACAAGACCATACTTTTCTTAGTTCTATCAGGACTAGTTTTTCAAGCTAATAATGCAATTTTTGTTTTGTTTTGTTTTGTTTTCTCATCCCAACAGCGTGAATCTACTTCATCGGTAAGCAGAATGCTTCTTTTAATTATAATTTTCCTCATAATTATGAGGACAAGTCTCAGGCTTATTGTCTTATTATTAAACCATTATTCACTCTTTAGTACTAAGTATTGTTGCATTTTCAACACCAACATCCATAGCCTGTGATAGCTGTCTCATTCTCATATGGAATGCTCCCATTTCTTATAGCAGGATCACAGTCAAACTAAATGGTTTCATATTTCCTTTTAGAAATTTGCAAATCCCAAATACAATGGAGCCATCTACTCCAAGGTAAGAAATCATTCTTCACCCCCTACTATTGCCTGGATGTTTGTGTAATCATCAAATCTGTAGGGAAAACAGTCAAATGATGTCCTACGTGTTTAAGCTTTAACGTAATTGTTCCCATTTGTACAACCCGATTTTATTTCCTGTTCCCCATTTATTATTCTTCCCTAGACATGTATGGATGTATCTACAAATTTGGGTGAAGAATTAGTGTATCCACAAATGTTTAGGCCACAACAAATGTCTTTGTTAGACGCTGCTATATTTGTTCATTTAAACTACAAACATCATTTCTTTAACAAAAGCTTCCATCTTGTGATATTTTGTTTCATATAGATATAAAACATTGTCTTCTTTTGTCAGTAGGCATAAACAGTGGAAATGTGATGCTATGAAAATAATGAGAAGATATTTCTTGGACCCTTTGGTAGAGCCATCTTTGTGTGATTTGGGCTAGAATGTTTAATGTCTCAATATCTGAGAGTCATTTGGGTAGCTTAAAATCTTGTCAAGTCACATTTTTAGGGCTGGAAAGTCAATAAAAGCCTCTTGTTTTATTTCTGTGGTTTTTTAAAAAAACAAATCAATTCTCTCTTCCCTCTTTATCATGTCTTTACAGGGTTTAAGACCTCAGAGTGGTTCATCTGAAACCATCCGCATTACTGTCCAGGTAAATATCATTCAATTAAACAAGAAAGTTGTGGCATAGACCAGTTAGTATCAAAGGTGCCACAAAAATTCTATATTCTTCTGGTTATTTTTCTCTTCTTTTCTTTTTAAATACTAGCTAATATGTTGATGGGGAAAAATAGGGAGGGGCATATTTTCTAGAAGAATGTAATCCTTAAATATATGATTGTGTGAAATACTCAAGGTGCAATTGCAAACAGTGCCAACAAAGAGAAAAAATAGGACAAGTGCAAAGAAGCCAGAATGGATGTCCAAAGAACTTCTAACTGTCTAAGGCTCAAAAGAGACATGCACAAGAAGTGGAAAAAGGGAGAAATCACCAAAGAAGAATTCAAACAAATAGCCAACTCCTGTAGGAAAAAGGTTCGCAAGGCTAAAGCACAAAACGAACTCAGGCTTGCCAGGGACATAAAAACAATAAAAAGGGCTTCTTTTCTTATATCAGTAGAAAAAGGAAGAACAAGGAGGCGATAGGGCCTCTTCGAGGGTACTGCTGACAGGGGATAGGGAAAAGGTAGAACTACTTAATGCCTTCTTTGCCTCAGTCTTCTCACAAAAAGAAAGTAATCTTCAACCTCAGCAAGATGGAGTGGATGAGGGATTAGAGAAATAGGCCAAAACTCACAAAATGAAGTTCAACGGTGACAAATGCAAGATACTCCACTTAGGCAGAAAAAATGAAATGCAAAGATACAGAATGGGGGACGCATGGCTCAAGGGCAGTACATGTGAAAATGATCTTGGAGTCCTCATGGACAACAAGTTAAACATGAGCCAACAATGTGATGCGGCAGCAAAAAAAGCCAATGGGATTTTGGCCTGCATCAATAGGAGTATAGTGTCTAGTGTCTACATCCAGGGAAGTCATGCTATCCCTCTATTCTGCCTTGGTTAGACCACACCTGGAATATTGTGTCCAATTCTGGGCATCATAACTGAAGAGAGATATTGACAAGCTGTAATGTGTCCAGAGGAGGGTGACTAAAATGATCACAGGTCTGGAGAACAAGCCCTATGAGGAGCGGCTTAAAGAGCTGGGCATGTTTAGCCTGAAGAAGAGAAGGCTGAGAGGAGACATGATAGCTGTGTATAAATATGTGAGAGGAAGTCATAGGGAGGAGGGAGCGAGCTTGTTTTCTGCTGCCCTGGAGACTAGGACGCAGAACAATAGCTTCAAACTACAAGAAAGAAGATTCCATCTGAACATTAAGAAGAACTTCCTGACTGTGAGAGATGTTCAGCAGTGGAACTCTCTGCCCCAGAGTCTGATGGAGGCTCCTTCTTTGGAAGCTTTTAAACAGAGGCTGGATGGCCATCTGTCAGGGGTGCTTTAAATGCAATTTTCCTGCTTCTTGGCAGGGGGTTGGACTGGATGGCCCATGAGGTCTCTTCCAACTCTATGATTCTATGATTGATAAAATAACTAAGTGATTGCCCGATTTCTGTATTCTCTTCACAGAGTGGACAAGGCAGCCCAGCTTGTGATAAGGTGAGTGGACCTTTTTGACAGTAAGCAAATTTTAACTGCATTATATCATATTCTTTGATATGTGAATTGTTCTGGAAAAGCTTTTGGTAAACCTTATTAAGTGAAGGCCATCCTGTGACAGTTGAATGAGAAACAGAGAGGGAAACGAAAGGGCAGGCACACCTTTCTCACTAATAACTTTACAAGCGTTCTTTGCATCTTCGATTTCAACATCTTTTTATGTTCTTATGAGACTGTAAATAGAACATGACAAATTCTTTGTCTATTACACAAGAATAAATTCTACCTTGGTCTAAAAACATATTATTGAGCAGGCTACAGTATAATTTGTTGCTTGCATTTTCTACATCACATTTAGGAATTTAAAATAGCAGGCTAGTTCAAGCAAGGGACTTCCATGTCAGTGGCATGATCTATTCTAAGTTTTATTCTGAACTTTAAAGAAGTTAATGTAGCGTAATCTTCCCCTTTATGGTTCAATAAACTCCAGAGTAGATTGACTTCCCCACTGATATGGGAGACACCAGTCACCACTAGAGATATCTATTAGGAGGACTCCATAAGCCATTTTAACAACCTGATAATCTCCATAGCGTGATAGACTCTAGTCTATGATTGAATCTTTTAGTACATCTCACCTTGATCATGAAGCAACAGTTATTTCCAAACTTTTCTGAACATGTAATAGGGCAGTGTTTTTTCAATTAAATTTGTAAATGCATCATAGAAGTCCGCAAGGAAGGTTCTCAGTTATACCATAATAATATAAAGGTAAAGGTTTCCCCTGACATTATGTCTAGTCGTGTCCGCTGGGGAGTGGTGCTCATCTCCATTTCTAAGCCGAAGAGCTGCCGTTGTCTGTAGACACCTCTTAGGTCATGTGGGCAGCATGACTGCATGGAGTTACGTTACATTCCCGCCAAGGCGGTATCTATTGATCTTCGTGCATTTGCATGTTTTGGAACTGCTAGGTTGGCAGAAGCTGGGCCTAACAGTGGGAGCTCACCCCGCTCCCCAGATTCAAACCTCTAATCTTTCGGTCAGCAAGTTCAGCAGCTCAGCAGTTTGACTTGCTGCACCACCAGGGGACGCTTATAATAATATAAGAAAGCAGAAAAATAAAAACATAAGAAAAAACCATGAAAATGAACAAAATCTGGCTACTAGTATTAAAAAACTCTAAAATTACAACAGCACAACAACAGAGAGGAAACAAACAAGGACATTTAATCACCTCTTAACAAAAGTTTGCTCTAGGCAATGTCAGGCCATTATATGCTAATCAAGGTGGTCAGTTGAAACATTCACACCTAGCTCCAGCAGACAAGAGTCCTTTGTCTCACCCTGGTCATTCCACAGATATATAAACCCTTTTTCCTAGTTCCAACAGACCTAACTACCTCTGAGGATGCTTGCCATAGATTCAGGCGAAATGTCAGGAGAGAATGCCTCTAGACCATGGCCATATAACCCGAAAAAACCTACAACAACCCATAAGAAAAAACACTGTTAATAATAAGTTTCTATACAAGTTGACCGAATATTCAAACATAAGTCCACTTGTAAACTTTGTCTCAGTCATTCTTTCAAATGCTGCAAGCCTTGTTAGATCTTCTATCCATTGGAGGAGTTTTCTTTTTAATGCAGAAGTATTGATCTTTTAGCAGTTAAGAGGGCATGAAAAATTCATTTCCTCCGGCCTTTTGTGAGTTTCAAAGATAGAAGTAAATTATTCAAAAGAGCATGTACATCTCTCAATATTAGAGCATTTTCCAATACCAAGTTCATTCACCTAATTGCTTCCACCCAAAATGAGGCCACTACGGGATCAATGGCCACTTTCCAGTAACAGGTTTATCTACTTAATTATTTGCACTCCAGAATGAGGCCACTTAACATATATCTTTGGAGACATTAGCAACATTATCTCTTCATTTATATAGCCCTTTTTTTAAAATGTGATGTGGTGACCAACATATATCTGAAACAGTGCTGTCTTCTATATAAGACGTAATCAAAGATCTGTACCCTTATTTGTTAACCAGTTAAATGAGAGGAAGCAAGTGGGAAGGAGATCTCTCTCTCTTTCCAGTTTGGCTGGAGTGATTACAGTGGTTCTCAACCTGTGAGTCCCCAGATGTTTTGGCCTTCAACTCCCAGAAATCCTAACAGCTGGTAAATTGGCTGGGATTTCTGGGAGTTGTGGGCCAAAACAACCTATGGAGCCATAGGTTGAGAACCACTGGATTAGAACATCACCACCCAAGAATCTTTTTGCAATGCTATGCATTAATTCTAGAAATAGGTTTTCTTTGCTGATCTTGATATTCAAGTTTGAAAAGGTCAAACTACTTTTCAATCTCATGATGATAATCAAGTCCATTCTATTCCTATAATTATATAAATACAGTACTATTATTTGCATGTGTCAGAACATGTTGTGTTCAGATTACCTTTTCTCACTAAAAACAATTGTTCGCTTTTATAGAGTTCAACCTCTTACAACATCCAGGCTTGTAACCAGGTAAGCATCGGTTTTTGTTTGTTTATTTGTTTGTTTTTAAATACATACCTTTTGGCACCCATTGAATCTGCCATCTTTAAAAAACCATGCATATCAATACTCCTTGAAATGTAAGGCCCTTTAAGCCCCCATCTACACTGCCATATAAAATCAGATTATCTGCTTTGAGCTGGATTTTATGGCACTGTAGAAGGGGCCTTTTAAAGAAAAGCATCACCTTTTAGGGACCTTCCACACAGCCTTATATCCCGGAATATCAAGGCAGAAAATCCCACAATATCTGCTTTGGCCTGGGTTGTCTGAGTCCACACTCAGATAATGTGGGATTTTCAGCCTTGATATTCTGGGATATAGGGCTGTGTGGAAGGGCCCTTAGAAACCATAACTTTTTAGACAATGGTAGTCATAATCTTTTAGAGAAGAGCCAAAAATTCGTACGAGTAGAATCTTCTCATGTCATATACAACCAAATGTAATTATGCAAGGCAATTGGCTTCAGTTGTTAGACTAAATAACTTATTGTCTCTGATCTGTGAGGAAACAGAGAATATGCCAGTGCATAACAATAGCAGTTCTTTAGAAGTGTTTTTAGTGCTCAAAAATATATCTACGCTCACATAAAACAACTTGTTTTATATTATGCACGCAAGAGACAAAATAACATAGACTTTGGTAAAAAAAACATATTTGGTTTACTCACAATTGTCATGTGTTCAGCATACACTGATACACAACTTATCAGTAAGTTACAGATATGTTTGAGATGTTTCTGTGCTATCCGGTCATAACATATCTCTCTTACAATAACATCAGGCAAGAGTTTGAAAGTCTGCAATCTGAGCAGTCCCAAAGTCTAAAGAAGTCTGTGCTTTTCTTAGAGCGGATCGTGTGGGCTGCAGCCCCTCCCACAACTTCTCAGGAAAACATAGAGCAAGGAAAGAAAGCTGCATATCAGAACATAATACAATAAGTAAGCAACAGGATTATAGATAAACAAACTACTAGAGGAGGTGTGAAGAAGGTTGTAATTTCCAACAGTCTTTGTATCTAACAGTGATTGAGTCCTAAAACAAAATGCTGCCAATCAAAATGTGGGATCACAAAAGCATGGCTGATGTATGTTTTCCTTTGCAGCTGGGTCAGTCTTCAAGCTCACAGAGCAGCAGTTCCTTTGGTGCACAGGTATACAAAGTTTTACCTTTCCATGTCACACATTAAAGAATGCATAGTTTTAATTTGCATGTCAAAATCCAGAAATATGCTGTACTTTATGAGAGTAACTATAAAAATAACTCAGTCACAACATGCCACCGAACACCTGTGTGAATGGGAACACATTTGTGATGAGTTTTTATATTTTAGGTTCTAGTAAGTATACATACACACACAGAGAGAGAGAGAGAGTCTTATTTCATTTTGTTGCATTTCTCAAGGCCCTTCCACACAGCCATATAACCCAGAATATCAAGGCAGATAATCCACAATATCAGCTTTGAAGTGGTTTATCCGAGTCCACACTGCCATATAATCAGTTCAAAGCAGATAATATGGGATTTTATACAGCTGTGTGGAAGGGGCCTCAGACTTCTAGTATTATCCTTATCCTGTTCTGATTCCATACAGGAAGAAAGTCCCCACAAGGCATGAGTTTTTAAATGTAATATTGTGTAAATTATTCCATTGAGTGAAACATACTTGAGAATATTTTCCAAATGTATAGATCTTGGAATAACTGCCAGTCTCTATTCCACTGCATTTCTCTCAACCCACAGGCCACATTAATTTAGCTGTAATCAAATAAGGAAGATTAAAAAATTATATAAGAATTGCTCATCAAACATTCTGCATTTTGATCTTGTGTCATGGTTCAGCCATAATCACCATCTCAATCTTTTCTCAGAGTGGAAAATTTTCACCAAGCAGCAATTCTATATACAGTCAGGTAAGCATCACCACCTCCTTTCTCATAGCCATGCAGTCATGCTGGCCACATGACCTTGGGGGCATCTTTGGACAATGCTGACTCTTTGGCTTGGAAATGGAGATGAGCACCACCCCCAAGAATCGGACACAACTAGACTTAATGTCAAGGGGAAACATTTACCTTTACTAGAATCTTGTGCTCTCTGGATGTGTTGCCTGCAACCCCCATAATCTCCCAACCAACAATCCTATGGATTGTGGGAATTGTATCCAACACCACTGAAAATGAGACAGACTGGATCTTCATCTACCTAAGAAACAAGGAATAGCATATGTTTCCTCTTTTGATCCAGTTCCCCTCACTACATTAGATGGGGATTCTTTATATAAATAATCGCAAAACCCTATCATATAGTCATTCTATACAGTCTAAATTGTATGATTATTTGCTCTTAGCTTATATCTTCATGTTTTAATATTTGACTGCCATCTGGATGGTTTTACTTCTCATAAAGGAGACACTTGCTTCTTGGGAGGAGAGCAATGACCAATCTTGGTAAAATAGTGAAGAGTAGAGACATCACACTGGCAACAAATATCRGCATAGTTAAAGCAATGGTATTCCCCATAGTCACCTACGGATGTGAGAGCTGGACCTTAGGGAAGGCTGAGCAAAGGAAGAWAGATATTTTTGAACTGTGGTGTTGGAGGAAAGTGCTGAGAGTGCCTTGGACCYTGAAAAGATACAACCAGTCCTTACTTTAGGAAATAAAGCCTGACTGCTCATTGGAGGGAAGAATAGTAGAGGCCAAGATGAAGTACTTTGGCCACACCATGAGAAGAAAGGAAAGCTTAGAGAAGACAATTATGCCGGGGAAAATGGAAGGAAAAAGGAAGAGGGGCCGKCCAAGCTCAAGATAGATGGATGGTATCCTTGAAGTGAATGGATTGACCTTGAAGGATCTGGGGGTGGTGACGACCGACAGGGAGCTCTGGCGTGGACTGGTCCATGAAGTCATGAAGAGTCGGAAACGACTGAACGAATGAACAACAACAAAGTCACTTTGTGAATAATTTTATTTAAAAACAACAACAAATTAATTCTACCTTCCCTCTTCATCACATGTTTACAGGGTTCAAGAACTCAAAGTGGTTCATCAGAAACTGTCCGGATTATTGTTCAGGTAATTATCCATCTGTTATGTACAGTCTAGTGAATCAGACTAATGTGAAAATGTATTTCTTCATTTATTTCAGTATCTTCAAATAGTAAAATAGAGTAAATAGCAGAAGCACCCAGGGCACCATTGCCATTTCAATGTATAGGTAGGGAGAGTAAAGCATCCCTGTTTTTAAGACTGTAGTTTATGTGACCTCCCCCTTGTCCCAAATCTTAATGTTTTTTTAAAAAAACTACAGCTACCATAATCTTCCAATTAGGAGGGTTAACGGACCACACTTGTATGATGAGATTGGGAGCTGTTTTACCTAGTTTTAAAATTCCATTGCCGACTGACTGGAACTTTTGTCAGAAGAGAGCATTCTGACGATGATCTCTAATAAAGAGATAACAACTGTTTTATTGTTAATGTGGTCTTTTTCTCTTTACTGCAGGATCAGCCTTCAGGTTCACAGGGTGGCGGCACTTATGGCATACAGGTAAATATGCTTTCACATTTGTATGTCAACTGTTGGTATGTTTTTGAAAAAAAGTGTCACCCTAATAATAATAATAATAATAATAATAATAATAATAATAATAATAATAATAGTCACATGTACCACCTGCCAGAAGTAAAGAACTGGTAGGATCATAAACCTGCAAAAGTAGTGGGAAATGCACACCCAAAAATACTGTAGGACTTTCGAATCCAGACTGACAGAGTTTTGGAACACAATACACCAGACATAACGATTGTGGAAAAGGAAAAAGTTTGGATTATTATGTCGCCATACCAGATGACAGCCAAATTGACAAAAAACAACAGGAAAAACTTAGCCCTTATCAAGACCTCAAAATCGAACTACAAAGGCTCTGGCATAAACCAGTACAGGTGGTCCCAGTGGTCATCGGCACACTGGGTGTGATGCCAAAAGACCTCAGCCAGCATTTGGAAACAATAAACATTGACAAAACCATGATCTGTCAACTGCAAAAGGCCACCTTATTTGGATCTGCACGTATCATTCAAAAATACATCACGCAGTCCTATACGCTAAGGAAGTGTTCGACTTGTGATTTTGTGATACAAAATCCAGCATATAGATCTCGTTTGCTGTGACATACTGTGGTTTTGTGTTAGTAAAATGATAATATACTTTATTTATAACCCACCCTATCTCCCTGAGAGGACTCATTAACTAACAGAGACCCCCTTCTACACTGCCTATAATCCAGATTGTCAAAGCAGATAATCCACATTACCTGCTTTGAACTGGATGATATGAGTCTACACTGCCATATTATCCAGTTCAAAGCAGATAATCTGGATTTTATATGGCAGCGTAGAAGCAGCCTTGGTTCCTCTTTTCCAAGCCATCTGGATCAAAGGTGAATAAACAGCAATACCTTGGAAGACAGAAGAGGGGTGGAGAAACGGCGCCATTGATGGCAAGTGATATTATTGGACTTGTCAGTCATGCAGTTCCCATGATTTCAGCTGCAGTGGAACAGTGACACCATTGGCATTAAAAATATAAAGCATCTATAAGGAAGCTGCCATCTGCTGCTTTTACTATCTTATCATATACATACTCCTGCCCCAGAGTGGGACCAGGAAGGACTGGCAACTTGAGTATGTTCACAAAATCAAGGTAGATTGCATTGCCAGCTGGGTTCTGCTTTTGGAAGTAAAGCAAGAGCGATAACCTATATGCACTCCTTTACATGGATCCATTTATAGCTATTTTCTATTTTTCTTTACAGGGCCAGTCTTCAGGCTCACAGAGTAGCAGCTCCTATGGCACACAGGTAAGACAGGCATATGCCATGGGCAGAGCACTTTCCCCAGTCTGGTGCCTTACTGAGGAGTCAGAGTTTCATATGTACGTGTCATGGCTCCTCCCAGATAATGCCAGGAAATAGGTGAAAGTACTGTCCTCCTTTCCTGTTACAAAATTACAATTCCCATGGTTTTGTGGAAATCGAGAGAGACCATGAAAGCCTTTTTGAACTTGTGGTGTAACTGTGCTTCCTTGGATAATTGCACAGATGATGGAATTCTCTGAATCTTACTGTTTTAATTGAGCCGTGATGTTAAAATTAATGGGCCACAATAATACAATATTGAGGAAGGGATCTACTCTCTTCTGTCACTTAGATTTAGGTCAAGCTGTTTCCAGATGTGGTATCCCAGATGCTACATTTATTCAATTAGCTTAATTGTCTGTTAGGAAATAATATACATCATAAGAGATAATCAATTTTGTTGAATTCTAGTAACTTTTTATGTCAACAATTCCTAGAGCCATCCAATTCTTTTTACTGGTGAATTGATTAATAATTTTAAGGGAAATGGTCTATATTCTTCAAGGGGGCCATGGTGGTGCAATGGGTTAAACTTTTGTGCTGTTGAACTGCTGACCTGAAGTATGGCATTTCGAATCCATGGGATGGGGTGAGCTTCCACTGTTAGCTCTAGTTCCTGCCAACCTAGCAGTTCAAAAACATGCAAATGTGAGTAGATAAATAGGTACCACTTTGGTAGGAAAGGCACAAGACGCTCCAAGCAGTCATGCAGGCTCCCCGGCTTGGAAAAGGAGAACAGCACCTCCCCCAGAGCCAGAGATGAGCAGAAATAAAAGGAAATGCCTCTGTCTTTGTTTGTGTTTGTGTGTGTCTCATTGTATTGTAACAAGGCATTGAATGTTTGCGGGTATCTGTTTACACTGTAGTCCGCTCTGAGTCCCCATGGGGAGAAGGGAGGAATATAAATAAAGTGTTATTATTATAATAATAAATATTATTAAATGTAATATAATATTATTAAACAATTAACTAGAAAGAAAGCTGAAATTTTCATTGATGTTTTGTGAAACAGGGTGGATCCTATTCAAGTGGAGGCAGCCCTTGTGGTCAGGTATGTTCCTTTCATTTGACAGTTTATTTCTTCTGTGTTTGCTGATAAGACCTAAAGCAAAACTTTAAAATAAGGCAAAAGAACCGATAGGTATCACAAATCTATTAATTATTGGTAGTTGTCCCTGTACAGGAGTGTTGTTCTTTTTTTTACTGTCTTGATTCTAGACTTTTTAAAAATAGTGGTAGTCGGATTTTGTTCATTTTCATGGTTTCCTCCTTTCTGTTAAAATTGTCTGCATGCTTGTCTTTCTTTTTACACAGGGAACAACATATGACAGCAATCCCTGCCATCAGGTAAGCTCCCTATTTTAGTTCACCTAGATATTTATTTAAAAGTAACATCTGGATTTGAGATGGGACTTGATGAAACCGTTGCCAGAACTCAAATTGCGTCAATTCCAGGTGGCAGAAAGTTGAAAATCCTTTTCTCTGTCCACATTTTCTTGGAACAAAACTGCCTCCCTCAGCTCCTTATTGATGGGTCTTACTCCTGCAGAAACCTATCTAAGAGAGGTTTGGCCTTCAGGGGAAAATTGCAGGCAGAAGAAGAAGTCAAACTCTCCTTGTCTCTGTACAGGATGCCCTTAATCCGTACAGATCTTAGCTCCTTGCCCCCACCAATAAAAATGGCAGGCTCCCATTTGATAAAATAGGGGTCCTTGGTGAACTGTTTGGAGATGGATGACATACAACGTTCCCTCTTCCCATTGGCAGTCGGTTGCTGGATTTGTTGCTGGATTTGTCAACAGATTGGCAAATTGGCAACAATGACAACGCAAACCTGGAAGCAAATAGATAAAGAAAGAAATAATATTTCATTCCAGGAGACAGTCTGTTCTGCAGATCCACGGTGCTATGGCTTTATCCTATATGAGTGGTGGGCAATGTGCAGACCATGATTGCACGCTGTCCTTGGGGTCCCCTAAAAGACCTCTTCAGCCCTAGCTACACTCAAAAAAGTTTTTTTTAAAAAAATTGTAAGCGATTTTGGACACTTTTTTTGTCTCCAAGCAGGTTAAATGTGCCTAAAATGTAACATCTTTCTACCCCAAACTATGCAAAGCCCCCTAAATCTCCTTAAAACATCACAGATTTTTTTAAAAATTAGCCAAAATAGTGATTGGAAGTGTCAGCATGTCACTTTAATTGTGCTGAAACTTGCTAGTGTGGCCTCAGCTTTTGCATTTGTCAGAGACTAATAATAATAATAATAATAACAACAACAACAATAATAACAATAACAACTATTATTATTATTATTAATAATAATAATAATAACCCACCCTATCTCCCCGTGGGGATTCGTGTATCTGTGGACTTTATTACATTGGGATATAATCTGTTCATATCAGTATGCATCACATATTTTTAAAGGACTTGGATGCATACCATATTGAGATGTGATTCACACCTGATTATTACAATTCTTATGATTTGAAAATACTGCATTTTGACTCTTCACTCCACAAAAGGCTGGTTCCCCCCAATCCATTCAAAATACCCCTTACATCACTTTATGTTCTTTAAAAAAGTATTTTTCTAAGATTGCGCAGGGTTTTTTCCTTGGCCTGTTACATATACAGATGCAATGGATGGAAGAACTTGCACAGATTTCGGTAAAACATTTTTTAAAAATAAGGTAAAGCAGCCATTAGCGATTTCAGTAATCCTGGAGATGTTTCCCCTTCAACATCCAAAACGGAAATAGCAGACGCTTCCATCATGAAAAGTCTGTGGTCATGAGACTGCCTACAGATGACAAGTCATATAGTTGCTGATGGGATGCATACAGATTTTCCTATTACACACAAAAACAGTGCTTCAGCAACGAAAGAATCCATAGTATTTCAAAAACACAATTAGAATTCCGTCTGCAAATAATCCGTATCTGTGACACTTTGCAGATAGATTCCGACAGAAAACTGACGGGAATGGGGCAAGCGTCATATGATGGGAAATCATTCTCAACCATTCTCAGAGACAGAGTATTTCCAAATGTGATAAGGCCCTGTGACTGTGCTTCAAGGAAATATTAAGGGGGGCTTCTAAGAGGAGCAGAATATCATACGCCCTGTGTAGCACAAAACTTCAGCACTCTATCATTAAGTGGGCCAGGGAAGCCACAACCTAATCTTCAAGCAAGACTCTATTATAACCAGAGACTTCAAAGATATTTACAAACAGAATTGACTGTATTTCTCTACAGAAAGGCTTATTTTAGTGAGAGCCTATAGGATCTACTAAAAATACTGTGAGAACAACAAAAGATTATACAGAAAGCTGTGTAATAGCAGCAGCCCACTGGCTGGCTCCACAAATCGCATGCAATCTTTTATGCAGAAGATGGCACATTTACAGCTTTGTCTTTTTTGTAACAATGGACAAGTCGCTTCCATTTCCAAAAGCTGACAGCAGCAATTTTTGCTTCTTCACAGAACCAAGGCTCATCCTCCTCTTCCTCCTCTTCATATTCTTCCTCTTCTTACGGCAACCAGGTAGGATCTGTTTTCTTGAGTTCTTAACAGGGTGTTTCAAAATGATGGATCCAATTTCAAAGCAGTATAGGGTATTTCACAATGGCAATTATGCAAGAAGTTACTAACAGTTTAATGAATTCTCAAGTTTTCAATCTTGACTAACCATTTTGAGCCAGAAACAAATCTAAAAAATAACTGCAAATGGAGAATACCTCAATAAGCCTTAAGTTGTGGGGTTGCCATCTCATGAATGGCAGGGTAGGGGCTGTCCGTGTGCCGGGAGAGGCATCTGGCAAGAATCATTTGAAACTCTATGCCTCACCCTTTCCAGGAGTAAGACTTTTATTCATGGGTGGTCCATATTGTTTAAACACCTGTGCTTTGCCAATTGCATGATATAGATACAATCTTATCATTTATGTGGGAAGATCAGACCTTGTTCATATATTACCTGACTGTTTGTTACAACATCATTGTAAAGGAGAAATGACGTAAAATTCAAAACCTTGCTGCACACATCAGGCAGTGTGTGCCTAACTAAGTGGTGCATGAAATACAGATCTGCAAATTTAATAACTATCCTTTACCACAGTGGTTCCCAACCTGTGGTCCGTGGACCACCAGTGGTCTCCAAGAACTAAAATATCATCTGTGGCCTCTGTTACTACAGCATTGCAATTAGAGTGACTGGTCTTGCGAAACCCTTTTATAGTGCTGAGGCAATGGGGATGTTGGGAGGGGAGAGGCTGACTACCCACGAAAGGCACGACAGCAAGCCAAGACTGTTGCTCCTCCTCTTCTTTCCTTCCCCTGAACGGAATCATTCCATGTGATGCCTGGAAGCGGGAGCATGCTGGTGTCTTCGTTTTTAGGCCTTTTCCTGGGGTTATTTGGGGTGCTGATTCAGAAAATTGCATTTGATAGACCACATCAGCTCTAGATTATTAAATATGGCTTTCTGTGGGTGAGCAGATGGCGATTACTGGACAGAATATGCTGGCCATCAGAAACTTGAGCTGATGTGGTCTATCCAATACAATTTATAGAATCAGCACCCCAAATAATCAAACTGAATTTAAAGTTGACCAAAAACACTTTTGATACTAATGTTGGAGAGTGGTCCCTGGTCAAAAAAAGGTTGGGAACCACTGCTTTAGCAAAAAAAAAAAAAAAGACAGAACCAAATTCTGTGGAGTGAATGATTTCTTGTTTTTTCACAGGGACAAGCATCTTCCTATGGCAACCAGGTTTGGATTCTTTATTTTATTAAAAAAAACTGGTACTAAATCAAACAAGTAAACATCCTTCTCAGTTGTTTTCTGGCATATTGTGTTGTTGCATATCTCCCACACCTCTTAACAGGGCAAGCACAGGCAAATTTCACAGAGATTGCCCTGCATTTCTATTTTTAAATTTGTTTTTGAATAATATGACAAATGACAAACTATCTTCCACATTTTGAATGTCTCCAAAAAGTTTCTAAGCATTGTGTTTCTGAAATTCAGTGTGTTTTAAGAACTAATTTTTAAAAACTCTCTACTCTTATTCTTCATAGGGTAGTTTACAATATCAAGGCAACAGCAATGGTTGTAATTCGGTAGGTTCCATTTCTCTTTATTTATTGTTTGCTACTTAGGGCCCTTCCACACAGCCATATAACCCAGAATATCAAGGCAGAAAAACCTACAATATCTGCTTTGAACTGGGTTATCTGGGACCGCACTGCCATATATTCCAGTTGAAAGCAGATAATGTGGGGTTTTATTCAGCGTTTTGGAAGGGGCCCTACTTATGTGACTTTTTAATATGAATTAGCCACCAGTATTTTTTAAAAGTGATGCTCAAAACCATGAAATGGAAGAGAAGCAAGGATTTTACCTTTCACTTTCTTACTGGCCAACACACATTTTGGCACCTTAATTATTAGCCCAGTTTCTGGGTATATTTGACCCGTGGAGTCCAAACATGGCACCAGTTTCCCCCTAGTTTTGAGGTCTGGAACTTATAGCATCTACCAGTCTGCTCACCCATAGAAAACAATGATAACTATATCTAAGAAACTAGAGCTGATGCAGTCTATCCAATTCAATTTTCTGAATCAACATCCCAAATAACCTCATGAACAGGCCTTAAAAACAAATACATAAAGATTTGCTTTTGCTGGGCTGTGTTGTCAACTGCCGTAGCACCAATTTATCCCATTCCTTTTTACACTTCTGTGACCTTTAAATATTTTCTTCCATTTTTCACTTGGTCCCAGTTTAACATGTTTACCTAGGTATTTTTAATTTAAATATATGTAAACTGTGGTTGCACTAAACGAAAAATAAATAAAGTAAGACAGCTTCAAACAATGCAGCATGCCATGGTGGAAGATGATTTTGAAGCATAGGTTGGGTAGCATGAATTTAGAAGATGTCAGGGATGTAGCTATTCCTGTATCCCTAGCATCATTGGGTTGCCACTTGTGGAGCTTTCCCACATGAAACAAGAAAGAATGAGCAAAATTACTGTGCTGGCGGAGAAAGAGAAAAGGAATCCCTATTTCCACAGGCCAATGATCAGAAATGGAAGGGATTTCCTTTCTTCAGTTAGAGGAACAATGAGTAAGAGAGAGTTGGAGGAAATTAAATACTCCCATGTGGCAAATTAGGTCCTGCGTGCCATTTGGGTTGAGTACACTTTGTACATTTGTCTTGTTTTAATAAGCTAAAACTGAACACAACTCTGCATGTACCACTAAACCAACCTGTGGGTTCCCAGATGTTTTGGCCTTCAACTCCCAGAAATTCTAACAGCTGGTAAACTGGCTGGGATTTCTGGGAGTTGTAGGCCAAAACAGCTGGTAAACTGGCTTGAGAACCACTGCACTAAACCATGACAACTGAAACTGGAAATAAAATTTATCTTCTTCTTCTTCTGGCCCTGTCAGAAGCCTCTAAATTTGCTTCTGGGATTTAGTGTACTAGCCAAATGCTACAAATCCATACAAACCTGCAGCTTCATATAAATCTCTAAAATCCATATTTACAAAGAGCTCTAGAAAGCAAATACCCACAAATCTGAACAAGTGTGGCCTGACCTAGTGCATTAGACTCAATTTACAGCCCATCTTTGGACTTACAATAACCTTGACTGAAGCTGCCCTACTGGGAAAAGACATGAAATAATTTTGAGGCAATAGCAATAGCAATGACGGATTTTTCTTTTCTAATTTTCACAGGGATCTTCTTCACAAAGCAGTTACAACAACCAGGTAATATTTCTTTCCTTTTACTCTTTTTTTTTAAAGTCAAGAGATGTACAGCTCTTTTAACAGGATCTTTCGTGTTGGAGACAATGGCCATACCTACATGTCCAAAAATAAAGTAGAATGGCTTTTCAGCTGTTTGTAGACAATGCATGTGTGGATTCACATCAGAAACACTATATCCAGGTATTAATGTGGGCCAAGAGGGAACAGGGCTTACTCTCGTTCTCAACCTGTGGGTCCCCACGTGTTTTGGCCTTCAACTCTCAGAAATCCCAGCCACTTTACCATCTGTTAGAACTTCTGGGCGTTGAAGCCCAAAACATCTGGGGACCCACAGGTTGAGAATCACTGCTTTGGAGCTTCAAGAAACTCTAGGGTAGTCCCAGCATTTTGGAAGTGTGGACAGCTGAGTTGGATGTGTCTCATTCCTTTTACACTTCTATGATCTTTAAATATTTTCTTCCATTTTTCACTAGGTCCCAGTTTAACATTTTTAACTAGGTATTTTTAATTTAAATATATGTAAGCTGTGGTTGCACTAAATGAAAAATAAATTAAGTAAGCCAGCTTCAAACTATGCAGCATGCTCCTGGGATTATTTGGGGACTGATTCAGAAAATTGCATTGGACAGACCACATAGAACACCTCCAGTTGACTGCAGCAGGGCAACTCTGGAGCAGTTAACCCCAGATTACTCAAATAAATGTACACACTGTCTCCCAATTAGCCTTATTCATATTCAGTGATTCCCAACCTTTGGTCCTCTGTGTTTTGGACTTAAACTCCCAGAAATCCCAGCCATCTTACCAGCTGTTAGGAATACTGGGAGCTAAAGTGCAAAACACCTGGAGGACCACTGATTATATCAAAGAATGGCCATACATTTCAGCCAATGGGACTTGACCTGGTACTGCCTTTCACACCTTCTGTGGACTTCCTGCATAAGGTTGGCAAGACAAAAAAATGCTAATGATTTTGGAGGCAGCAGTGTGGTGACTGACTTCTTGTTTCTTTATAGGGCCAATCATCTCCCTACGGCAATCAGGTTTGGATTCTTTGTTTTCAAGTTAAACAGCATACAGTCCTTAAGGCAATTTCTTTGGGAAAATGTTCAGAAAATGACTACAAACAAACATTTTAAATCTATGGTTTATCACTGGATGCTTGAGCCTCAATACCGTGTTCCTTCTCCTTCTGTTACCTCCTTCAGTTAGGATGCAAGGACAAGATTAGAATGGATGCTCTTCCCTTCATTTTTCCATAGCTAAAACTTAGTTCCAACCTTGTATAAATTAGCACTAGAGTTGCAATCTTTTGTCATATCCTTTCTACTACACACTAGTCTAATATCTGAACAGAAAACAACTTCAGCCCATAGTCTGAAGATGAATCACAGCTTAGAGTTCCAATGAAATTGAATAATTTGCTGAGGTCATGGTTTATGGATATGGAAAAGACAACTTTCATTTTTTGTGATCAATGTATCCCTGACATTCCTAATGCTTTTGGAATACCTTTTGGCATGTTACGGTTTGGATTTCTTTGACCACATTACTTCCACATTTACAATGAAGCAGTCATCTTAATTCTGGGAAGGACAATTATATGACAAAAAGTCAAATATATGACAAAATAATTCCTAACTTTAATATTTTTTTTCTCTCTCTCTCAGGGGGCTTCTTCTTACAACCACAATAGGTGTTGAGTGGTAAGTATAAAAATTTCTCTGGCATGCAGATCGGGTAGAACATATTTCAAATGCATGTGGGTTCTATAGTTAGAAAAATATAATATTTTGGCAACTCTGGGCCAAATTAGATCTCATATATGAAATCACCCTTTGCTACTTTCCTGGGAGTAAAACTTTACTGAGATTACACTGGTATACTTGGCACTTCTTGTATACTGCATATCTAACTTGTCTAATGGAGGAATATAGTATCCAAGGGTATAGATATCATGGCTAGTGTTGTGGGGCAATTTAACCATGTTCATAGATCATATTAATCTTATTGAGCTCCTCCAAAACTAATCTACACTTTCTAGCCCCCCAAACAGTTGCTGTGCAATATGTTCTAAGTCAGTGGTACTCAACCTGTGGGTCCCCAGATGTTTTGACCTTCCACTCCCAGAAATCCTAACAGCTGGTAAATAGTTGTAGGCCAAAACACCTGGGGACCCACAGGTTGAAAACCACTGCTCTTAGTGAAGTGGACTAAATAAAAGGAAATACTGCATCATGATGATAAAAGTTAAAACCCAAATTGTGTATTACCTATGGATTCTAACATGAAATTGAGATATTTGGCATTTTAAGGGGTATAGTTCTTTCTCCACTTACATAGGACTAAATACTGTACCATAGATTTAATGAAACTTATTAATAAATGTGTGTGTGTGTGTGTGTATATATATATATATATATATAGAGAGAGAGAGAGAGAGAGAGAGAGAGAGAGAGAGAAAACTATTCATGTTCCAAAGAGTCAGCCCTAGTTCACACAAATATTTTCTAAACTACATCTGTCAAAAATGTGTTAGAAAGTGCTGGCTACCTCTGTAGAGCAATTGGCAAAGCAGAAGCTGAACACTGACCACGTGCCCCAACAGGGTCTAACAGAGAAATAAATATTTTTTTTAAAAAAAACTGTATAAAACTAGCTTTATATACAGATTATTTGTGCAAAATCAAATACACTGCCTAATGGGGGAAAGAGTGGAAAGAGAAGAAAAGGTGACAAAAAAGTAAATTAAGTGGATATATTACGCAGGAACAGTGATTGAGGAATTGTTTTGCTTTGATTGTCAAAATAACTTGAATATCCCAAGTTGTATGTTCTGAGACTTGATGAAAAGAATTTGCTATTCTGCATCAGGCAGCAAAGTCTTTATGTCATAATATCATGTGGTATATTTATTCAGTGAGATCGTGGCAACAGAGAGGGGTGATAATGAAAGAACCACTGGATGATATGGTTATATTTCTATGTTGCAGAAAAGTACATGAAAATAGAAGAAAAGTTTTGAATTGAACAAGAAAACACAAATGAGAAGCCATGAATATTACTTCAGTATAGGAGGAGGACTGGAGTACATCCAACACTGCAGAATTACAAACCCATTGCAGAATTACTCTCTGTGTGTATTGTTTCCCTGGCTCATGAGGCTACTGAATAGAAGAGTTCATATTTGCATAAGTCAACATCTCAGTGGAAATGCTTCAAAATAAAAAGAATACTTCTCTTATTACAACACTTTTGAGTATTCTCATTTTTGATGTAAGCCTTTTAATATTCTGTTTGCCCTGCTGCCAAGTAAAGTTGATTTCATTGTCACGAATCAACATCCTAAGTGCAAACTAAATCTGAGAATGTCTGAACTAGGTAAAATGATGGCAATCCTTGAGCTACCTCAATCAAAATATTAATGGAAAAGGATATAGAGATTCGGTCTTAAAAGCGAAACATGTGTATGAATGAGAAAATGTGCTTAAATGGTTCCCTTGCTCACAATCTGCATCTTCTATTTAGTCCTTCCCTTGAACTGTGTACCTGAAGTTGGAGATCATGACCACTAGAGGATTGTATAGGACACATCTTCATATTGGGTAGAGATCGGTTTCTTTAATGTCATCGTTTTGAGCAGAATTGGTCTATAAATTAAGCCCAGAATTCTGCATTGTATACTTAACTATGTAATCCGCTTTGTTTATATAGCTTTGTAGTGTTTCCTAATCTAACTTCACCAATCCTCACTAACCACGCAGGGGGCTGTTTCTCTGTCAGTCTGGAAGCAACCGAGTGGTGTTCCTATCTCCTTCTATGAATTGCCAACAAACTGTCAGAGTTTGCAAATTATCTACCCCCAGCCCCTTTTACAGCAGCATGCATAGACAAACTCTATGGTAGTCATCAGCTGCCCAATCCCATTCTCCCCTTAGCATACTTGCCTTCATTAGAATTGGGCTGTTGTTTTATTACTATTTTCAGTTCAAGCTATGTGCCAATGTTGCTATTTCTGTTAGGTTTTCTGTTCTTGTTGGGTTTTTTTTTTTTGGATTGTCATGGAATAAAGTAGTGCTGTGGCAAAACATTACTTTGTCCTGCTTTTTAATTCCCTAGCCCTTCCTGTGGACCCCAGTAATCTTTGTGATGCCAATAGTCAGTTCTATCCACAGTTTCTTGTATATTCTGGGAAATTGATAGGCATACAATCTATCTTAAAAGTAAGATATTGGCACAACTGTTTCACTTTTTACAAATTTCTAACAAATACTTTCTTATATACATATATACAATTACTGTGCCTCAGTCGTTCCTGGAGGGGTCATTCAGTGTACTGAATGTAGCACTTCATCTGGCTGATGCGTTCCTTCAAGGCCAAGGACCCTCCACTCCACTCACCCTCCAAAATTCAACAAGGATGGGAAAGAAGATTGCCAATGGAAGATTGCCAATCGCTGACTAGATTTGCTATCATGTAGTTCACCTATTCAAATTGACACACCATGAGCCATGAAAACCTGGTGCCAACACTTGGATAATCATCCCACATTTGAGGTGCCCTATGTAGGCCTGCCTCCCAGCGACAAAACAAGGTGAAAATTACCTTGCATCCTATCCTTGGAGGCCTATGAAGTGGACAAAAAGGGAGGCAGGAACTTCCCCTGGCTCTTTTCTGCCCTCTTCAGCCATGGCCACCGTCATCGGCAAAAGGATAATCCCCAAAAGAATCAATGAAGCCATGCATTAGGCAGCAACCAGGAGTTACTCACAGCTTGTCATTCAAACACATGGGCTCACAACATATTTCCCTGGATAGACTTTAAGGGAGAAATCTTAGCTAAATAGACTGTTCCCAGATCAAGGTGAAGGGAGGGGATTGGTCCTTCCCATCTGTACAGAGTGATTGGATAAAGAACACTTCTGCTCAGAATAAAAGCAAGTTAGCATAAATATTGCACATTTCAATTCTGAAATGGAAAAAAATTAAAAATTTGCAAGTTGCATTAAGCTGCATGGCCAGTTAAAAGAGCAAAAAGAAAGAAAAGTTTTTCATTGTGGTAGCCCCTTTTTGTGAAACCTGGTTCAGCAGCACCTTTCACATATGGGCTATGGTAAATCCAGTAATGGCGAATTCAGGTCATACCTGTTTGCATGACTTCACAAAATGTTCCTCTGGCCATGGATTGTGGGAACTGCATCTGAGATGGCATGCAACTTAATTGAGGTATTCTTTAGTGCAGTTTAGTATGGCAGGGAGGGAGTGCAAGGAAAACATATCACAGAGAGGTGGCTGGTGTTGGGCCTGCCATCTGGTGTTGGGCCTGCCATCTCCTCCTCTGCCACTGCTGTGCCTGTTTGGAAGACGTGCCTACCTTGGGACTCCTGTGAAACTATAACACTGATTGACATTTCTTTGATGTCTGTATGTGGATTTGGGAGTGCAGCCCCTGAGATCTGTTACGACAAGTGCTGGTGAAGAAATTCAGCATTGATGGTGAGGGACTGGCTAAGGGGAATGTGTATATGCCTCACATGATGCTGGGTCTGCTACCCCCTTCACTCCCACTGCAGAATCCATGTCCTGAAACTCTTAAGAAAGACAGCTGCCAACTGTCTTCCCTGCAGGGTGTGTCTGTGCTTTCTGGTGTTGGCGCATGCATTCCTGAGAAAAAGAAGAGAACACACCTCACTGTAGATGTAGCATCATGTCACTCAGAGGAAAAAAGGAGGGTGTGGAGGTGGGTAGTGCTCTGTCGTTGATTGCGAGAGGAGCATTGTGGCAATAGTGAAGAGGGCGTCACACTATGTTCCATGGATGCGAGTTCTTGCCTGGGAGAGAATAATTGAAACTGTAACCCCAGCTTGCATTGGACTCTATAAGGTTACATTGTCCGTTCCTAAGTTATGGCAAAATTTAGTGGATTTGGCGTTGGAGTAAGACTTAGAAGGCCAGGGTTCAAATGGACACTCAGCTATGGAAAGCTACTGTCTGAAACAAGGACTTCCAAAAGTGCTGAGGTTCAGGAATGAACAAAAGTTACCTTGTTCAGCTTGGGAAGCCAGGAGAAAGATCCTCAACTGATGCACACCAACAACATCTCATTCCTTTCCCAACATTAATGGGCTCTGAGAAAGGTTCAGCTAGAGCCCCTGGAAAAACATATGCCAGGGGCACCACGAACCCACTCACAACACAATTGACATCCTGTGGATACTTAAATCCATCAGCTGGAAGTGGCCACTCATTGTCCCATCACAGGAACCTTCCCCTTTGCCAACCGATACCAATCAACAGACATTGTTTCCTGGGCTGATGGGCTTCCCACGGGTGAAAAGGGATGATTCAGATACAAGAGACGGACTCAGGAATTCTTCCAATAAAAACTCTAATAAGTTTCCTGCCACACTATAAACCAACCACAAACTGCCAATGAATGTACTTTTGAACTAGTAAGATAGCAAATTGTAATTTGCACTAATCACAGCAAATGTCTGTCAAATATCTATAAAACACCCATACTTGCAACTGTGGATTCAATCAATGTATGCAAGATTGTTCCAAGGTGTTTTTCTGCTTGAGAAAAGCAGGAAATGACACCTCAAATTAAGCTGAATAACATCCAAAGCCAACAAAACCTCCCATAATCATCTCACTTTATCTCGTGACAGTAAACATACCACAATAATAAAATTAATGAAAACAATATTCTGCTCTTTCATCACACTCAAAATATGCTACCCAGGGGGACAGGCCTACTCCACCAAATGTGGTTTGCTGTATGTTGTATCTGTCTACTTAAGATTATAAAAGTTGCCTAGAAGGGAAATAGATGAATACCTGGCCATAACAGAGCATGCAACAACTGTTCTCCAAAAGCAAGTCAGCAACACTCTGCAGTTGGATCAGATGGTCCTTGGTATTCCTTACAACTACTTGGTATCTATTCCAACATCTTAGCCAGCAACTGCACTCAAACTGTAAATTTTAATCTTCATTTTATTCATATTGGTGTTGGTCTTTGTTGTGTGTATTTTGATATATTGTTTGTACTTTAATAGTGCAGTGTTATGATCTCCTTCACAGGCTCGCTTTTAACTGAAAAGTCCTCATCCAAGTGCTGCATGTCTAGTAACTTGGATCAGGTAGTCATCCTAAAAAAAAACCCTAATGCATTAGGGTTTTTTTCTTCTCAAAAAATCATCTTCCAGTAATCAGTGTTACATTTTTAGGTCTGAATTCAATTCAATTACAGTGAACACATTTTTTTTGTCATGTCAGGAGCAACTTGAGAAACTGCAAGTCACTTCTGGAGTGAGAGAACTGGCCGTCTGCAAGGACGTTGCCCAGGGGACACCTGGATGATTTGATGTTTTTATCATCCTTGTGGGAGGCTCCTCTCATGACTCCGCATGAGGAGCTGGAGCTGATAGAGGGAGCTCATCCGCCTCTCCCTGGATTCGAACCTGTGACCTGTTCGTCTTCAGTCCTGCCGGCACAGGGGTTTAACCCACTGCACCACCGGGGACTCCACAGTGAACACATTGACCCAGTGGAAATGTGGTTAGTTAACTCTTAAATTCAAAGTTCAGTTGGTTCTAATGTTTTGATTTAGGCTTCTGTAGTTACCTGTCCATAAGAATATGCAATGTACATAGTACATGGATGTCTTTTGGATAGCTATCAGCTATCAGTATGGCCAAAATAGTGGTTGGTTTATAGTGTGGCAGGAAGGGGCTGAGTTTGATTCGCGGGGGGGGGGGGGGGGGGGGGGGGGGGGGGGGGGGGGGGGGGGGGGGGGGGGGGGCTGAGTCTGAGTGAAAGAGGGTCTACCCTAGCAAACCTTTTGTTTTGTTACCCCAATACCCCCATGCATATGGGATATATGGAACTCAGTGATCAGATCATGATATGAATAAACATAACAGTTTAAATAATTTACCAGTAAGGCCTTCTTGCAGACCACCATGAGAATTTCGGGGGGGGGGGGGGGCTGAAGCCCCTCAAGCCCCCCCCCCCCCCCCCCCCCCCACCCCCGGCTACATGCCTGCCTAGCATGTAGACCTTGCAGGACAAGCGAGAAATTACCCAGGACTACCTGGGAATCGAGAAAACATTGTCATGGTAATGTGTTGCCAGTTTGGAGCTTGGCACATAAATTAGTCGTTACAGATTTTTGAAGACATGTTTGAGTACAGCTACTAGCTCTCGCTTTTAAGTATCGGTGTGCTGATACTACCAACATAGCTGACCTAATTAATCCTATACTCTTCTGTACCTTTGAACTCCACCCAAGCCTTGTTATCTAGTACTACCAATGTACCTTCTCCACCCACTTTTTATTCTCTCATGGTTTACTTCCATGATTTCCCATCTGCACGTGGAAGACTTCAAAGGTCACATTCAGTTTGTCACATGCTTTCTACCATCACTAACTTCTCCAGTAAAGATGGATCTTGCCATACAGCAAGCTAAGTTCTGAAATACAACCCATCTCAGTTCTAGTTGTATTATCCAATTGTCTGTTTTCTCATCAGAAAGACATTTCTAACCTACCCATGCCTTTTACACAATTTTTTTAATTGGACCATTGTTTCGCAATCATGTTTTGATATTGTACATAACAGCTTGGCAATTTCTCCTCTTGCCAGTTTTTAAACTTCTCAATTTCACAACAAAATAAAACTGTATTGCAGAGATGAGCAATACTGTCGTTAACAGTTGTTGAGTTCAACTTGTGGTGAATGAGATACATTCAAGTCACCCTATCATCAACAGCCCTGCCTAAGCCTTTGAGATTTGGGGCTGTGGTTTCCTTGATTGAATCTATCCATTGGGAATGTGATCTTCCTCTTCTTCTACTGCTTTCTATCTAACCAAGATTTGTTGTCTTTTCTGGTGAGTCATGTCTTCTTATGATATGTCCAAAGTATGTCAGTCTCCGTTGGCTTGTCTTCTAAGCAGAGTTCGGTGTTAATTTACTCCAGAACGCACTAATCTGGTAGCAGTTTACAGTATCCACAGAACTCTTGT